GTTTGACTCAGTAGCTTAAAGGCTTCAACTTTCAACCTACAGACCATCGCTAAGGAAATATGTAGAGCAGTCTTCCCAAGGTTTCATCTGCCAGCTAGCCAGCGGTCAGGAAAGCTGAGAGTTGTAGTCCAAAATATCTGAAGGCCACCAGATTGCGGAAGGCTGATCTAAACTAATTGGTCAAAGGTGAACTTTGTATTCCAGAAGATGCAAAAGAAATTGGGCTAGTTACCGATTCTCATCCTAAACTACCTCACAAGGTTGTTGTGAGGATTAAATTGGGGAATGAGGATTATGTCTGCTACCTTGGGTTCCTTGCAGGAAAAAGGTGCAGCATAAATGTGTGATATAAATATAATAGAGGGTAGATTTAGTTCTTCGTTTAAGATTTAGGGTTGGTTGTTGAAAAATGGCACTAATGAAACTCAGCTTCTGTTTGATATTAAAAAATCAGTAATCTCAGATGATTTAGTTTATGTGTGAGATGATCACCAGATGGCTTATTTTGGGATGTTCTTGTGTGCTTTTTCCCTGCAAAAATCACAGGAATATCTGCATTTTAGCTACTTAATCTTGACACTTGAGAAGGGACTGGATTTGAGTTAAGCACATGATGAGCTAGGAAGCTTAAAATGATAGGTTTGTCTCTCTGCCCTAATACGAGTCCCTTTATACTCTCAGCAGATCAGTCTTAAAAACTTGTCCCATTTGTAGATTTAAACACAGAACAAAGAAATGAACTACTAGGTAATATCTAGCTTTCTCAAAGCACCATTTTAATGCCACCAGTTTGATCCAGATGTGTTGCAGATACACCTAGCCTTGTGTTATAAACTGGTTCCTTTCCTGGAGTCACCAGGTTTCTTTTAAATGGCTACATAAAAAGTCAGACTGTCAGTCTGTTCACCTCAATACTGTCTACCCAGTTTGGCAGCAGTTGTCAAGGTTTTCAGACGAGGGTCTTTGCCAGCTCTGCATAGAGATTCCAGAGACAGAACCTGAGACTCTTTGCCTGCTTTACTTGCATGGTTCACCTTACTGCTGGACTGCAGCCCTTCCCTATAGCTTACAAAATAAGATTGGTATTGGAATGACTTAAATAGGGTATTGAGGGAGTAATCCACACTTCTGGATTAGTGGTATCCAAAATAAGTATGGATATGTTCTTTAGAAGTATGGATTGTAGATTTTAAAAGGCAGAATCCGAACACACATTCACAAGTCCTCTGTATTTACCCATTTTTCTGGTCAGAGATAGCCATTCAGAATTTGCAGCCATAAGCCAGGGTTCAAAATTCTCAGTTTCCAAAGTTTGGGAATTAGATGACAAAGCTGTTTATGGTGTACGCACGGTTGGTGCATGCATGCTACATGCACCAAAGCTAACTAATAACTAAAGGATCTTCTCCTGAAAAGTTAGGTCAGGATGGAAGTTATGGGGTGTATGCAGAATATATCTGGCTCTTGAATGGCAGCCAGAGGGCATCAGTTACTTTGATGGGTCTGTGATGTCTGGTATAAGAACTAACCTTTAAAAATAAGATAACTTCAATATCTAGACTCGCTCCATTGGACAAACCATATTTACAATTCTTCATTTAACAAATAAAAGTAAATAGAGGGGTAGGAATTTGAATTTGAAAGCAGTCTATAAAACTGAGTTGGAAATGAATAAAGCAGTTAGATTAATGCATAAAGCAGTCACATTAATGCATCCTTCCAATTTTGCTAGTGTACTTTATGCTATGCCTTGCCTCTGAAATGTAAAATACTCTGGGAATTGGTTCTGTTTTCTGGTTCTTAATGGCTCACCTTTCTTCCTTCTCAACTGCCAACTATAAGTTGTTTTGCTAATATGCTATCCATATGTTGTCCGAGCTCTTTCAGTATTTTGCTGTTGGTCTGTAGTGGGGCAGATGTTTAGCATAATGAATATGATTCCCAGCACTAGTCCTTGCAGAAAGGAAACTGTCTGTTTCTGCTTCTTGTTTAAGTTCTTACTGCAGTACATTCTGATAAGAGATAGCAAATTTGTCCTTGCTTTATGGGAAATGATTTTTTCACCCCCTCTCCTGCAAAATGGTTTTGACTATTTAATTGCTGGAATATAAATAGCCATTTCACTAACACTTTGAAGTGGTAATATAATGAATCTCCCAATCACTATTGTCCAATCTGTTTTAATATGCATGTGCCTAATTTCTGCTTGTAATCTGATTACTGTCTTGAGCTGCTCCAGTTTGCAGCCTATTGCTATGCATTTACTGTACTCTCTGGGATGCAATAGCCTGACAGCTCCAGTCCTGTGCTATGAAAAATCTTTACACAATATTTCTAAGGCACGGGCCTAGGGCTGTGGCTGGCTGAGAATTAGCTGCTATTGTAGTTTTCTCCTTTGCGGGTTCGCTTTGTTTTGTGCAATCATGTTCCGAAATCCTTGGATATCCAGCTATTTGCGAAATGTCAGATACTCTGAAGAGCAAGGTAAGAGTTTGAAGTCCATTGAAAATACTGTGATTGATAGCAGTCGATTTATAATCTAGATTCAAAAAAAATATCAGGGTTTCTCTCCACTCCCTCTTCAAAAAACATTGCCACTTTAGTTATATGCATTCAGTTTGGCATCTAACTTATTGTTTCCTCAGAGGACACTCTTTAAAATCCGATTAGATGAATCTTCTAATTAGCTTAGCTAGCAGTTGAATTAAGGCCTTGTAGATACCGAGTAACCATTAAGATTCTTTTTTTTTAATGGATAATGCTTATGGCATGCATATGTTAAGGAAAGGCTTGCTTTAAAAATGAGTGATAACATAATGAACAGTTGGAACTTGGAAGAAAAAAATACTGCTTTTAATAAATATACCAAGCAGTCTATAAATAGATATATAAATTGCTTTCCATTAAGAAGTTTTATGAATACAATGGTAATCTGTGACCATTTAAAAAACAAATTATTGATACTTTTGCAGCAGCTGCTTATATTCTGGAGAGAATCTTGGGCATGCTTTTTAGAACTAACTGCCACAGTAGCAACTGGACCCTTTGGGAGAGCCTGGAAAACAGATGTTTTCAATGATGGTCAACATTTTAATGTAATTTTAGTGCTGAATACATGCTACCGAAGAAATAGGAGTTTTGTCAAAAATGTGTAACATCACTGAAAAGACCAGTTATGACTGTTACTGAAGCAAGATATTACAACATATTGAAACATTTTGCTGTCTGTTCTAGGAAGCACGACCCTAACCTTGTGTGCCAATATTTAAGATGCTGTCTGCATTTTAAGCATTGAAATATGGTTTGGTACTTCATCGGCAATGTAGAATTAAGTCATAATATCACATAGCCCTTTCCGTTTGGTTATTTCCCAGTCCTCCTCCATCTTCTTCTCTGTTGAGAGCCTCTCCTGGTTTGGCTTGAGACAGAGGGGAATGTTCTCTTTGGCTTTCTTGAGGCTTTCATGCTGAAGTGAAGTTTCCATGCCAAAAGCTGTGTTGGGTTATACACCATTTAGAATTACTATAAATTTTTATGCATGCCTGGCTTTAATTTAACAAAACTCTTATACTGTTAGAGAATTATTAACAGCTGCTCTTTCCAATAATACAAATTTACTCTTTTTAAAAGTCTCCCCCCCCACACTTTTTTGGGGAGGGGTTGCTATTAAGATACTGAGTTGAAACAGCAAATAATATTCAGTGTTAGGCTTGAATACTGGGTCTGGGTCTGGGATTTTCATTTTTATTTAAGTTGACTTTTCTGAAAGCTTTACTATTCTGTCTGTTGTTTGGATAAAAGAAATGGGAAGAATCTTACTCAACAAGCAGAAAACACTTGATGAAGCCAAGTTAGAGGATGACATTTACTTGCTGACAAGATTGTGAATGTTTGTAACTTGAAAGAATAATTTACTGATTTTCTCCCCCAACCCCCCCCCCACACCAACAAGCTTTTCTGTACTCTTTTTTTAAAAAACTAAGAGACCCTGGCATATTTGAAGTGGGAGAATGAGGAACATACTTTTATATAGCTTCCTTAGAATGTTCCAGATAAGTTTTCTGTTTAAAAAAATAAAATAACTAAGATACATCATATAGGTGCTGTGGATATGGAGCATAGATTTAAAGCAGGGTTTAACAGGGTTCTTCTGATTTCATTGATGGTCTGAAGTTGCGACTGCTGTCAAAGTCTGTGTCATTGTTTTTCTACCATCGCTTTTGCATTATTTCATATTCTCTGTACAGAGTTTTCTATAGGTTGCGTCTCTTCTTGGAGTGTAACTCAGTACATGTCGGGGCAACTCTGCTTGTCCCAGCTCCTTCACAAGGCATACTGGGATAACAGTGAGGCCAGCTTAGTTATGCACAGAGGGCTGTCACCAAACTCCTGTGAAGTTTGATGTTGTTCTCCTTTTGTATGGCCTCTTCAAATTAGGGCCATTCCATGCTTAAATAGTAGGCACAACTGCTTAACAATACAGTGTTGCCTTGAATTTCTTATGTAAATGTGAAATATAAATGATATTACCCCCCTCTCTCCCTCTCCCTCTCCCTCTCCCTCAATTTCTTTGATGTGCATGTGCCCCCTACATATGTACATAGCCATCAACAACAAGATACACCTGTGTTAATTATTTTCCTGATTCCAATTCTGGGTGCATTGCTTGAGGATGATGGGAGGTGTAGTTCGCATCTGGAATTCACTCTGTTAAGGCAGGTTGTTCTTACACATCCCCATTGCTGTGTTCCCCCCTGCCCCGCCACCATTCTGCATTGCCTAATTTGTGCCTATGAACACTTAATCATGGGTGCTTAGCTGCTTTGTTCAGCTCCAAAAAGAGATCTCAGTATTTAAGGCAGAGGTGAAGAAGTGCACCTCTCACCATCCCTGCCTGTTGCCAGGCTGGCCGGAGGTGATGGCACCGTTTCTCCACCCCTGATTGAAGCAGTGATTGACACCATTGGTTGATGTGGTGTATTTTCCTTCCTTCCTTCTAGATTTTGACAAAGAAAATTCAGTCAGGTATAAAACTCCAAGAATACTTCAGAGGAGGAGGACACTAAGGTAAAACCTCTTTAACTGTTTTTGAATGGAACTGGATAGTGCCCAGTGAGAATAAAGACATTGATTTCATTTTCATGGCAAAACAGCAGAGTTTTGCACTTCCTTGGGGACAGCCAGATTTGACTTTTCATATGGCAGAGCACAGTTCATCAGATGCTTAAAGGGTTAATGTCAGTTGCTTGCGGGGAGGAAGTATTTAACTGAAGGTCCAAAAGGCCCTGGAATTCTGAGATATTCCTATGCAAAGTTCAAATAGAAATGTCACAAGCCTCTGGTACTTGTCTAATTTCATGGCCTGTTAACACTGTTCTCCCTCTACCATGTAAGGATGGCTTATCCTCATGCACCTGAAAAGTGGCCTCAACTAGGGATGTACAGATGTGTCTCACGGAGTGACTGGACACTTTTATTCTAGCAGCTGCCCATCAGTGGAGTTGGATTCTGTGCAAATGCATTCATGCATGTTTGCGCAAATTTGGAGTTGTACAAATGTGCACTGTATAAAATGCACAAATTGCTCTCAAATATGCAAATCCTCAAAATGCATATTTTCACATTTTATTTATATGGGCAATACACGTTTCGGTTGGTATTTTTATGTTATATGCTTTTACAACTGAATTTGCATACATGGAAATGTTAAAAAATGAGTTTCCAGTTTTCTGGAATCTTTCTGACTTAGAACAACCCAGTCCAGTATCCAGTCAAATTTTTAGAAATTCAAACTCATTGGGGATTTCTCTGAAATTTTGAGCGGGGAGGGCTTGATATTTTTGTTAAAGGTCATCGGCAAACCTTCAGGGCTTTCTTGAGCCATCCAGTACCACCCTCTTGTGCTTAAAAGGAGCCACTTTGCTGATCAAGGACAACAAACCATACAAATGAGATTGCTTTTATTATATATCATCCTTCTCTCACCTGGTGCCCTCCTGATGGTTTGGACTTCAGCTTTCAGTAGCTGAAGTCAGCATGACCAATGGCCAGAATTCTGGGAGTTGTAGTCTAAAACATTTGGATGGCACCATGTTGGGGGAGACTGTATGGATGATATGCATATGTTTCTCTTTGTTTTATTTTATTTTAAATGTAGGGTGTGTTCATGTTTGCTCCCTTTCCATGTAGAAGTTCAAGGTGATGGCTTCTTTGGATGTGAAAAACATTGATTCCTAATGGCAAACTACAAGTTTCCTTGGGGTTTGACTTAATGGTGTTGTGGACTGTTGGGAGTAGTAATTAGGTTAATAGGACAGATATTCATAGATGTCATGTCCCAGCAGCAGAGAGCAATGCTTATTCTTTTCCTAAAACCTTCCTTCTTTACCCAAATTGTCAGCCAGGTAAAAGATCTCAGTAAGATTTGGTGGTTTGTTCAAAATTGGCTAGCTTTAAAAGAGTAAAGTGTTTGAAGACTGGAAAGCTTATTCCTGTGAGATGTGCTTTTATGTCCACCTTGCAAATGTCAAAGTGCCATGGAAAAGGAAAGGTATGAAAAGAAAAGGGTAGACGTTAAACTCATGACTCCGTTATTCTTACAGTTGTTTTTGTGAAATTCATTCATGAGGTCCTTTCCAGTTAAAGAAGCTGGAAGTGTTTGAGGGTGTTTTCTGTGGCTGCTGTGAAGTGTCTAGATCTTAACTAAGGATTTGCAGAGGGAGATGGAAGTAGGAAGCAGGGTCATTGCACTAGTCCTGCTGAAAGTCTGAATTCCTCTTCTCTCCCCTCCCCAGTCCTTTTTCCTCATGTGTTGTCTCTTGAGATTGTAAGCCTATTGTCAGGAGCTTTCTTCTATTACTGATTATTTGTAATCTGCTATGAGACCCCTTTGAACCAAGAGAAGGATAAAAATATGTCAAATGGAGTAGATAGAAAGATTAAAGTAGGGCAAATTATGTAATTGCTTCACTTCACTGATACTAGAAAATGCAAAAATTGTGAAGCAGTATAGATCTTACAGGCCTGCCACAAGTCGCTAATAGTACTATCCTATAATGACTCCTCAGGAGTAATCCCCATTGAGTTCAGTGGAACTTCCTTTCAGGTAAGGGAGTATAGGTTAGCAATGTAAGTTATAGAAGTGGTTAGGAATCGAGGAAGCACTACTTCATGGAGAGAATAATAATTATAAATGCTTTTCTGTTAAAATCATAGCTGGAAAGCACTTTTTCTGCATTAATAAAGTTCCACAATGTTTTTAGGCTACATCACACTGTAGAAATTGTCAGGAAGGATGAAAAATTTACAAAAGAAAATTACAAAAGCAGGCAGGATTGACTTACAGATCTAGATAACTTCATTGGTAAACTTACTTATTTTTACACAAAATTATGTATCACTTTCCAACCAAATGAGTTAAAGAAAATTCTGATCGTTTTCAACAATACAAGTGCAGTAAAATAATAAAACTATAATCAAGCTCCTGCATGAAAATGGGGGTGTGGTCTTAAGCAAACGTCTAAAAATCAAGGAATCTGTCTGAGGTCTCATCAGGAATACGGACACAAGTTTTAAAATCGCAATTTGTCTTAATTTTGTATGCACCTAAACCAGAAGTGGGTGCCAATCCTTTGCAACAATATGTCCAACTAGAAGGCTGGCTACTGCAATAAAGATGGTTCTTTTAGGACCATCTCAAGGTTCATTAATGTGGATGCCTCTAGCCAACTTTAACTTTAGAAAAGCAATGCTAAGTGACCAAGAAGCAAGCAAATGAAGACAGGAGATGTGGTGAAGTATTGCCTGTAGCAGATGAAGTTGTGTGATCTGAACCTCTCCAGTAACACAGACCAACACTATGAACTATCCAAGTATCATTTAGCTATGCCGTTGTGGGTTCCGATAGTGCACACTTAGCACAGCTTGAGTACTTGCTCAGCTTTCCACAGCTTTGCTAAAGTAAGATGATGATGATGTTTCAGTTTTCAGAAGGAGTTTTCCTTTGAGGATAAAGAAGAGCTTGGAAACAGTACCAAGGATATTGACGCCAGCCTGTTAGCAGTGCTGCCAAAAGGTAGGTACTGGGTGGGTTGTTGCGTACAGGCACACCAAGGGTGGCCTCCAGGATCTGCCTTCTTCTGGCATTAGGGCTTTGCTCATGGAAGGTGCCTCCACCCAACTTCAAGGGATTCCCCCCTCCAACCGAGGCTATCGCTCACCCATTTAGCAGGGTCCCCCGTGTCAGAGCCATCTCCCCATCTCTTCTTCAGAAGGTAAGCACAGACACTGATCTTCTGTCATGTTAATTTGGCAATCACTAACTAAGTTTTGTTAGAATTCTATAAAATATGTTCATTAAGGTGAATGAATCCTCTTACAGGAAAGAGGATTTCAGAGTAAGTGTCCATCACATGCCATACTCGTAACACCAAAAGCCTGCATAATAACAGAGTTTGTGTTGCTTCAGAGCCAGTCACTAAGAATGCCATACACTTCTTCATTGATCTCGCCTCCTTAATTGATGGATCGCTCTTGGGTCTGTCACTCCCATTCTCCCCTTCTGCTCCTTCCAGGTTTCCCACAGTATCTCAGACTGACTGTTCACTCCCAGCACTTTGCTTATCGCAGTTTGGCTGACCTTGGCACTGCAGTATCAAATTCCCCTCCTGCTTGTCTTCTAAATCAGAAATTATTCCCACAACCTGAGTAGGCCCTTTTGAAGCAGCAGCAGACGTTTCAGAGGGTTTGAGGGGCTGCTATGAGGATGAGAGGGTCAGAATTCCCATTCTGCTAGCCCAGTTCATGCACCTAAACTAGGGTCCAAACCACATTCTTTATAAACACAACTATCTTCTTGGAAAAAGCAGGGAATTTATTCTGAAATTTTAACTCCAATCCATGCAAAATATGACATACTGAAATAAATACTGAATTTCATTCCAGTGTACAAGATTTTCCAGCAATGTTCATTCACCTTTAAACTAAAAGCACCTGCAGATAAGAACTGCACAAGGCTGCTTGGTGCGTGTGTGTGTGTGTGTGTGAGACAAACCATTAGCAATACACTGAGATGTTACACACAGGGTGGCTTATGTGACTGTTTAGTAACTGGGCTTTAGGGTTCCATGTGTAAGTGCTTTAGGCTGTGGGGTTAGACTTCCAATTTTATTTGCAGTGTGCTGTGATCATGGAGCAGTGCCCTCGCAAGACCTCTTACAGAGGAGTAGCACCAGATAACTCCCACACAAGCCAAGAGGCGTCCTGCAGGAGAAAGCAGTGATCATCTCCTCCCACTCCCAGGGTCACTGCTTAGTCTGGCATGGTGATAGAGGAGCCCCTTCCTGCCCATTGCCATTTCTGTTTACTCCAAAATATCCCATTCCCATTTTTGTTCCTGAGTGTTGCTCTGAAACTGGCCACAATCCAAGTCATTCAAATTCCCTTTGCTTTATAAAAGAGTCACAGATGGACAGCTATAATGCGCAAAATGTTTCCAGGAGGTTGCTGAGGGAGTTCAGTGTTGTCTTACAATTCGGAAATGCGGAATACTCCAAGTACCAATTTAGACCTATCTGTGTCTTCCCCTTGTGGAAGAAGCTGCAAAAAGCTTTTAATTTTCCTCTTAAACTAGTCCCTAAAATAGACTATACAGGGCTGTCATGTGACTTACATCTCAGTCTTATATCTTTTTCCTGCCTTAAGATGTTTCCCACATCATGAAACATTTACTAGCATGATAGGGAGACTGTTACTTCCTGAAAGTTAAAGCTTCTTGACAGGAATAAAATACAGGCAGATATATTGCAGCTTTCTTTCTTTTTTAATGCCCTTGTAGTGAATCTAGGACATTCTGACATAGGCATACTTCATCCAACGGGTGTCTTAAGTAAATACACTTTGAACAATATATAGCTTTCAAAGCTAAGATGATTTCTGATGGAATTTATTGCAAAATAGCTGAGAAAGTACCCTGAGCAGCATTCCAAAATAGGCTAAAAATCAAAGTGCTCTTGCTCTTTCCCTGATGGGTGAAGTTCTGGCACTTTCACACTCTGCAATATCCATGCAAGTAATCAACTTAAGCAAAGCTGGTGTGAATGCAGACTGGGTCACATCTCTTAACAATGCTTCTCCCCTCACTTGCAAATGCTCTGTATTTGGCAGCTGTGCTGGGTAACTTCCTGCAGCTCAGTCTTAATTTCGACCGTCAAACATTTATCCTGATGTCCAGCCCAGCCCAGCACGCCTGCGTGAAATTGTATACCTCACAATGGAATCATGAAAATAGTGAGTGTGCTAGTGATTTGCACAGACAACATACACATTACAGGCCGTATGGAAACAGCAACATCTCATTGACCACCTTTCTCAGGGGTTTACTAACCTGTTTGGAAACAGAATACCCTTAAACATAAGTGAAGGTGCATTTTGCTTACAAGAACACGCAGAGGAGCTGGATGCAGGCTGCCTGCCTGCTCGCTCAGTTTAAAGGGGAATGGGAGCGCAGTCACTTTGGGAGAGTCTCCAGTAATATTTTAGCCTCTGTAACTGATACAACTGTCTGGAATCTCAAGTGTGGAAAAAGTGTAATCCTGCACAGCCTAGGTCTGCGTTATTTTTGTCACAGTCTTGCTTTGGAAGGTGTTGAGGAGATAGTCCACCAGGCTGTTGCCTTTACTTAGGGCTGCCAAACTGCCATTGCATCCCAACACTAAGGGTACCAAAAGGAAGCACAGTGCCCATATACTTAGGAGTGTGTGTTTTACCTCCTAACAGGCCAGGGATCCCTGAATGCATGGAAGGGGAAGGCCCTAGAGGCGGGGGAAGTGTATGTTCGCCCCACCCCTCGGCTCGGAACAGGAGCACTCACAGGCGGTGGGGGATAAGCAACAACATTTTCTTGCAGGTCTCACTTTTAAATAAAACATGGGGGATTTTGCTTTGGGGCATCATAGCTCAGTTTAAAAGGAAGAAACATCCTGGCTGTTTCTGTATATGTTGCATGCTGGTGGCTACACTGATGGCAGCTTCTGGCCTGAGCACTGACCTACAGAACCGTTGGCCAAGTTACGCGTTGCTTATACGCCTTCGACCCTTATTTCTTCAGCTTGTACCTAATGATTGAAGCCTACAGAGAAGTGATGCACATGCACCCACAGGCCTCCTTCAAAACCTGTGTTGTGCTTAGCTTTAGTGTTGCTGAGCAGCCATGGTGTCCGTGGTCCAAGCAGCAAAACTACATAATGTCACGTACTGTCAGAGCTGCATTAGTAACAGTCAGTAAAAGCCCGGTGCTTGTTGGATTCTGAAGTGGCTTGGTGGAGGCATGATAGGTGTGGTTTTTTAAAAAGATGAACAAACAGACGTTGCATCCCTGTTCACTGAAAGCACCAAAGGAGCTATTGCCTTCAGTTCAGTAGGCCATATTTTGCTCAGAGGCCCTGTGCTGAGTGACACTATTAGTGGAAGCGAGATGTGTAGCAACTGTGCCCATGACCTTTTCAATGGTGGGACCCTAATTGTGGAATACTCTCCGTAGGAACTCAGATGTTACTGTATCCTCTCCGCCAGGCTGCCACCTTCACCGGCTCCTCCTCCTTCCCTCCTCCCTCTCCCTTTTTCTCTCTTTGTCATTCATGTCTAGTGAAATGTCCTCCTTTTCCCAGGCATTCAGCATACAGTGTTTACCTTGATACTTTGAATACTATTCTTTTTCCCCAGGGGAAGGACAGTAAGAAAGCCAAAGAAGAAAAAGCTGCTACCCCTTTTTTAGTCAAAACCAATTGTTATCTGACTTAACATTTTGTTTATAATTGTTTTGTAAAAATGTAAGCCCTTTCTATTTGCAAAACACCTTGCTTCAGTGTTTTAATCCTTTTTCTGGGGGGGGGGGGTGTTGTTTTGTTTTGTTCTAGTTTCTGAATTAAGAAAACTCTTTGAACCAAACCAACAGGATACCTTAGAAATGAAGAGGTAATTCTACAACTTCCTCTTTGCACTTTAATAAATATTATTTTTAAAAACTTGTTAGTATAAAGTACATTTACTGCTCCGGCCTGACCTCTTCTTTCATATTTCTCAGGAAAGAGAGGATAGCTAGGCGTTTAGAGGGAATTGAAAATGATGCTCAGCCCGTCCTTTTACAGAACTGTCCTGGGCTGGTTACCCATCGCTTGCTAGAAGAAGACACACCAAGATATATGCGTGCCACAGACCCATATAGTCCTCACTTTGGTAAGAAATATATTTCTAATATAGGCTAATATTAATATTAGTCAAGCAGTGTAACAAATTTGGACTTGTAGAAATTATGCTTAGCTATGATTGGGCATCATATAGTCCTTGAACTTTATCACCTTGTAACCTGCTAGCAAAAAAAAAGTTCAGAAGCGTATTTTTTGAGCTTGTTGGGTTGGATTTAGTAATCCCGTTCCAGACTCTGATCCAGTGTTGGCTCCCACTGAATGAAGGGGTGGAGGTTGTTTTTGCTCCTCCCATCTTCATACAGTTCTCACTACGCCCTCATGCACTGTTATAGAGCCCCCTGGAGTAGATTTGCAAGGGATTTGTGGCTCTGTGGTGGGAAGAAGGACATCCATGAAATTGCCTCCTGAATAAAAGCATTGTGGGAACAGAACTCCACTTGCTGCATAGCTGGATGCTACCGAAAGTAAGAACTGGTGGTCCTACAAGGGGCTCGGACAAATGCTTGTCTCATCAGCTGCAATTAGCCAGAAGAGCCAAATGTAGCCTGGATATTGAGAGAGGTATGCCCGGGAAGCCAGATTTTGGAGGCAGAGAGCTGAGCCTGCTGCGTTCATGCCCAGTTGTGGGCTTCCAGGATGCATTTGTCTGGCCCTTGGACCTGATGCAGCAAGCTGCTGTTTTCTTCTAATGTATGGTTTAAAAAAATTCTTTAATGTGGGCTGTACAAAAAGGTGATTAGAAGAGACTTTATATGGAGATACTGCATTTACGAAGTAATGAAGCTGAAAAAATACACATCATGTAGGGGATTTTACTGTGTTTTGGTATGATGTTGCAAATGATGAACTCCCCTCAGTTTCAGTCAGCAATGCAACTGTCTCTCTAGATGTACATAAGGAAGATATAGAAAGATTCAAGAACTGGTGGGCCACTGATGTCCTTGAACTATGTGAGTGGGGGATGGAGAGAGAAGAAAGAATGCATGTAACCCCAGACCATTTTTAGCTACACACTGGGGAGGTTCTTAATCCATAGAGCCAAAAGCAAAGGCTTTTGGTACAGGTTCTTCTAGGAATCCTGCTAACCTATGTTTTCCCATATTCCTTGGCATCCAGTGCAAATATTGTAAGTTATACTGAACACAGGTATATAGAAGGAAATTTTAGAGTGCTTCCAGATGGAGGATTCCTACTGCTAATAACCTATAGGCATCTGCAAGCACCCTGAAAGAGAAAAGGTGGATGATTAGAGAACTGACACCTTCAAATCTGTAGTTTTGGTTAGTTCCCAAAAAACAAGAGAATAATTGAAGAGAAGTCAGGAAAAACTGCTGACCCTTCTATATTGTTATAGGAAGATCAAATGAAGAAGCAGCTTCGGATTCTTCAGTAGAAAATCACAGTAGATCCAGATACCCTGCAGAATCCACTGAAGGAAAGCCAAAGGCCTCTTCTTACAGTCCATTAGTCATGGATTCACAGGGGCTTGAATCCAAAGCAGAAAGGATAGCTAGGTACAAGGCAGAAAGACGACGTCAGTTAGCTGAAAAATACGGCCTCTCGATAGATTCAGATGTGGATTCAGAATATTCATCCAAATACACCAGGACAAGGAAAGAACAGGATGTGGCTGAGAAGCGAGTACAGAAGAGCGAGAAGAAAGAGGACGAAAGCAAAGATTATGGTTCTCTGTATCTGGCAAGAACTGAAAATAAGGAGCTGAGGGTTGCTGCTTCAGAGTCAAAGGAATATTCTGGGCAGGAGAAAGAGAGTTCTCCAGAAAGGGAAAAACTGCATTTGAATGAGGACTATGAAAGAAAAGCCCCAGAGCCCAGTTCTAATAGAAATGATCTACCCTCTGCATCAGAGAATTCGGCATCCTTTTCCTTTTTGGGCCATGACTCCTCCGTAAGTGAAGTGCCAAGCTCTCCAAAGCAAACTCGCAGGGTTTCCCTTTCCTCTCCAAAACATCAAGCTTCACCAAGTCATTCCCTCAATGACTCCAGATTAGGGTAAGTATACATGGTAGCTACTTCAAGGGCCTTGGAATATCTTTACTATTTTATGATGGTGATGATGGTAAGAAGAAAGCTGATCTCATGGTGTAGGTTTTATGACTGGAAAGCAGATCTACAAAGGAAGCAGAAAGTGTTCAAGCTACACACTGTGTCTCAGTGTTTTTAGATCAAAGGTGGCAGAAAGTAACAGCAGACCAAGCTTACATTCTGCATGTCTGAGAACTGCTATTTATGAGGTTTATGAGGACTATTTGTTCAATGAGCAGAGAACTATTTGAGGAAAGGAGTTTTGGAAAGGACAACATGCTCAAAATGCTTATACCTTTTAAAAAGAAAGCATATTATGTACAAGTCTGGAAAGGAAAATTTATGTTATTTGTCCTCAAATGATTATGGAAAAACACAGTGTTAAATCTTAGACAATCCTGATATTAATTCAAAGGGTGCAATAACTCTTATCCAACTCCAGTTGGATTTTTCTGTCCACCCACAAGCATGGCCTCTTTGTTCCAGCCCTTCCCTGTCCATGGAACATCTGGGCCAACTTTACCTGTGTCCTGTTATTATCTGGCTGGTGGTGCTACCTGGGGCTACACAGTGTTGTGTAGTCAGAATAAAAAGTTTCCTGAGATTTTGCAGAAAAGGAAGGAGAATTTTAATGTGCCATTTTCTTTTGTATTGAATTGAATTCTTTACAAGCAGAGAGAAAGCGAAAGCAAAGTTGTGTTTCATAGCAAATATGACAATAGCGATGATGGAGAGAGAAAAGAGAGTTTCTCAGCACTTTGAACCCTGAGGCTAGTTCTAAAGGAAAAATAGCACAGGAGGTAGCTGTGATTAGTAGCAGGAGAATACTCCTGCCAAAGCCTTAGTTCTGAGGGACTGGGGAGCCGCCACTTGGGAGGCCGTTGAAGAGAAATACAATAGCAGAGAGAGCCAGATCACTGGAAGGAAGCTACTCTTTCCTTTATAGGCATCTTAATAGAGTTGGCTAATCAAGAATAACTACCCCAATGGCGCCTTAGTTGTAACAGCACATAAAAGCCAAGAGGGAGAAGATTAATCCAAACTGAATTGGGCTGTCAAGGACAGGACCTTCTGGGGGACATTCATTCAAGGGGTCACCATAAATTGGAGAGAGACGTAATAACAGAATTGAGGAGAGAGCCACAAGAGTGGGTATCTCTGGTATCACACGTTCAAATATATAGACTACTTGGAAGAACGCTCTTTCCACATAGTAGAGATTACTGATTTCCACATAGTAGAAGGAGATTACTTTCTCAGAACCCAGCCTCAAATTTATGTGCTTGTCCTACCTTCAGATTGTTTTCACTCCTAAATAAAGCCCCCTCAGGCAGCTGTAAACACACTGAGGCTTAAGGCTACATGAGGGAAACAAGCCGGTTTCTACATTTCTCTGGTTTCTTCATAACTTGTTCATAAATAACTATTGGCGTCAAAGAAACAAACATTGCCTGCAAGCACTTCAGTTTAAGTGGGTTTTAGATTGTAACTTTCAACATGTTCAAAAAGAATTTTCAGCTGGCCACAGGCAAGGGCCTCCCATGTCACTTCATAGTACGTAGTTGCACAATTTAACTCTCCAGTATTTTATTGTGCACTCAGAAATGAGATGAGTGTTAATTCTTAATTGGTCATTGCTATGGCTGCACTTTTTGCCACTGACTTGTCTAAATTTCTGAACCAGTAAAAAGACTAAGAAAATTAGATTCTCTATGACTATGTGGTTTTCAGGTTTTATGTGCAATGGGGACAGGATTCCATCTCTTTCAGTGTGGCTCTCAAAAGATCACTTCTCTCTTACATAATTATGCAACTATCCAGCTAGGCTGATAGAAGTCTTTATTCAATCCAAGCCATTTTCTCTGCATGGAAATTTCATGGACACTTTCGGCAGTTGTAGAAGATTCCCTCCACTTAATTTTTTTCAGCAGTTTGGGAAGGATTGTTGTGAGAGCCAAGGGGATGTTTGCTCATTCAGGAAGCATTGCCCTAGTTCTAAACGGACTTAATTTGCTCTCAATGGCACTAGCAGGCAAGCTGGCCTGGTAGGCTGTGTGGAAGGGTGATGTCATCGTGTTTGCTACAGGAGAAAACAGAAAGCAGAAGAAGCTGAAACAGGAAACAAGGGAATGAAAGAAACAGTAGCAATAGGGCTGAATGGCTTCCAGGGAATCTACGGGGGGGGGGGGGGGGATCTCCTGTAGTGAAGGGTAGTAAGTGATGGAACTTTGGTTACACTGTATCCTTAAAAAATATGAATCACCTGATAAATAATTAACATATTTTAATATTGATTGCTAATTTAAATGCCTTTAAGTTCTTGCCTTCTTGATCCAGAAAATGTATGTTTAAAACCACTCCCAACTGGAATGATTTCTTATCATTTCTTCAAATGGCACGTGATCCTTCTGTGTGTTCCTTGCACACTAAGGTATATGTGCACACACCTCGTTAGCATAGATCAAAGTACACATAAAGCAAATCTAAATCAGGGCGTTCTCACATAGTCATTTTCCTCATCCTTTCCATTTTGGCTTCATCTCAGGTCAGTATGATCCCCTCTAAAGCTCTTGTATGCAAAAGATTAAGCTAGTTCACTCTGGCATCAAACTCTCAAGCTTGCATACTTTTCAGGATCTGCAGCTCCTTGGAAAAGGAATACTGAGTATTGCAAGGGACCAAATGTGGAAGCCATTGCTCTACTTACTATTATTATTATTTAGTTTGGTGCAATTTCTGCGTGAATGAAAACTGGCACAACTTGTTGTTTATCGGTGCAAGTCAGAAAGCAAGTATTTGTTATGTGAATCTGGTCTGAAAATTTACTTTTAAAGGAGGCAATTAGTCGTTTACTTGCTTGGATCATTTCCAGTTTAAATGCTTTTCTTGCATAGCTGCTACTTGTTTTTTAAAATGTGGAACGACTCACTGCATATTCTCATGGTTGTGAGTCCTAAGGGTTCGTTTCCTCATTCATTACTGATGGCTAGTTAATATTTGAAATGTTCTTTTTGATATTTTCATCTGTGTTGGTTTTGATTTTACTGTTTTGGGTTTATATTATTGTAAGCTGCTTTGAGGGTATTTTTCTGTTTGATGATATATAAATTGAATACATAAATATTGGCAGAAAAGGAGAACATTCTCCCCCTGGGCTGCTATTCTTCAAAAGCAATGAAAGGGTGCTTTTATTTTGAACAAAACCCCAGTAAAGGATTCTAGTTAATTTAGTTAAGAAGTAAAAGATAAGGATAAAGTAGTGCTTATATTCCGGATAAATCTGTCTTCCTTTTCTTTAATCACTTACAGCATTCTCTTTTCCTCTCATCTTTTCTTCCTACTTTGAAAATGAAACTTCAGAATAAACCTCTCTTAAAACATACCAATCAACTCTTCAGAATTAGTTTTCTTAAGGTATCATTTGTTAATTTGAATCAGTTGCTAGCTTATTTCTTGGGAATATCTTGCTCAGCTTAAGCATCAAGCAGGACATGAAATAATTTCAGTGGATAGTTTTGCCAAGCATGCATACACATACCTAGGAGAAGTAGTCCATCTTGTGGACATTATTGTCCTTATAATTTCTGTGTATATTCTAGATATATTCCAGTTCAGAAGCAACTATGCTAAAACTGCCATTTTCCTTTTTACGTTTTGTGAGCAAAAGTCTTTTTATTAATCACAAGATAACTGTGTTAGGATTAGGGGCACAATCTCATGCTTCTTTGGATGGAAAAGCAAGTCCTTCAACTCCCAGCGTGCCCGAGCCATGGCAGTGTGGTGTAGTAGATAACAGTGCAGGACTGGGACTCAAGCAGCCTGGGTCCTAGTCCCCACTCAGCCATGGAGCCACCTGGCTGACTTCGGGCCAGTAACAGTCTCTCAGCCCAGCCTACCTCACAGGGTTGCTGTGGGGATAAGATTAAGTGCAGGAGGAGAATGCTATAAGGCACTTTGAGTTCTTTGTAAGCAAAAAGGCAGTTTATAAATCTAATCAATAAACAAACCAGCATAAGATTGTGCCCTGATGGTATGGGAGATGAGCATGGAAATCAAGTGTGCATGCATTGACATATTGTTAAAAAAATAAAAATCTGAAGCTCTATTTTCTATAGTAGTGCAGGGAAAACAAAACTCGATTGGTTTCTTCAGAAAGATTCGGATGGGGACACAGCTTCTCTTATCAACTGGCCTTCCAGGTATACTGCCATGTAGCTGTGTGACTTAAATACTAATAGAGTGCTAACTTTCTCCTTTTTCTGTTTCCCTTCTCTCATGTTAACAATGTTATCGACATCAATTGAAGGCACTGGATAAGAAAATGCAGTTTCCATTTAATGAACTGCTCTGATGAAACTAACCCTCCCTTGGGAATTCCTCTCTTTTTAATTTATTGGACACTTACACCTCATTGATATTTTGGTAGGAAGCAATAGACGGGGCTCTAATGTTTGCTCCACAGCTAAATTAAAGCATTACATTTAGCCTGTCATTAGCATGTTTAGCCCTCCTTATAGTCTGCAGTGCAACAGATTAGCCTCTGAAATGTTGCAAGCACCAAATATAGGAGCTTCTTTTCTCATGCTGTGGAGTTTTCATAATATGAAAATGTGTAGGAGGATAGAGTTAATATTTAAGACTTTCTTTGAAACTCTGAACAGCTTGCACCTTGTAACACATAGAATTCTCATAAAGGTTTGCTATCTTCCTAGAAAATGGGAAAGGTGAAGTAGTCATAAACCAGGCTGCTAAAACATGCTACAGTAACATTTAATTTGTTTATTGCTATACGTCATATGCATATGAGAATATCTTTGTTAAAAATGTAGTATGTGATCACTCCTAAGCTGTAATACTTTCTAAAGCAAGTAACATGTAGAAAGTAACAGATCTTGCAAATACCATATAGTAAGGGTACAGCAATACTTAAAAGAGAATTGTTGGGCATGGATTACATGTCCCACCCAGACTCTGACACATGTCTGACACATAGATGCATATAGTTACTTTTGATGCATATAGTTAAGGCTAATCAGAGCTTGTTCTCCAGCTCTAAACTATGGCTGATATCACAACGTGACTCATGGTTAGAGTCATTGTCTACCATTCAAGACAGTAGTAAAATTTGTACTTGGGGCAATAATGTAGCTCAGACTGCTAGGTTTCTTCCCATCTTTAGGATGTTCATTGTCAATATTTGGATTGGTGGATATGCACAGCTGCTTAGTACTGTTACATAAAAATGGATGCATAAGTAGTTAAACGGCTCTGTTAACACGGACACGCTATTTTCAATTCACAAAGGCATGCATCACAGGACAGCCAGTGTGGTGTGGTTAAGAGTGCTGGGATTTAGGAAATCTGGTTCTAGTTCCCATTCAGCCATGAAGGCCACTGGGTTACTCTGGCCTAGTCACAGACTCTCAGCCTAACCAACTTGATAGCATGGCTGTTGTGAGGATAAAATGGAGAGAAAGGGAACCATATAAGCTGCCTTGTGTCCCTTGCAAGAGGAAGAAAGCTTATATAATATTCCATCTCCCCTCCATTTTATTATCACAACAACCCTGTAGGTTGAGATAAGGTGAGGTAAGCTGACAATTAGGACTGATTCTTTATGAGCTTTATGACTGAACGGGGACTAGAGTTTGAACCTCCCACTTTGCAGTCCGACACTCTAGCCACTAAACCACACTGGCTCTCTTTATAACCAAAAGTGATTCATAGTCTCAACAAAATCTTTTTTTTATTCCCACAACTATATCAGGGGAGTAATTTTTATAAAATAATGGCCTGCCTCTGCAGTATGAAAAAGCCATATATTTCTGCTATGCAAATGAGCCTGTCCCAACTTTCACCTTCACCCTTTTACCCAGTCTTCTTCGTTTACACTCAAGAGGAGGAGATTGAAAGCATGCCCTTCCTTTTTCAAATGACCTAGTTTGCCATGACATTTCAACTCAGAGGATTGTGGCTTGTTTAATATGAACTAAATGTAGTGTGAATAAGCCCAGATCAAACCATGATTTCAGATCCTGGCTTGTTTTTAAACTACAGTGTAACTCAAGTATGATTCTGGACATCACAGGCAACTTGATAGGTTTTTAAAGGATTAGGTCCATGTCTCCTGCAAAAATGCCTTTTAGAGATGTAGGAACATTCTGACTCTCCTGAGGAAGAACAGTTAGAATTGGTAGCTGGGTTACAAAGACCAGTGGACTAAGATAATCCAGACAGTGGTTGAGAGTGACAGCTTCGGACAGGATGGGAAGATGAAGTGAACTGTTAATGAGGAGGAGGGTGGATCAGCCATCCCTGATCTCTAGTCCAGCATCAGCTAAAGACGCCAGACCAGCTGAGAAGTGTCAGTGTGCCAGGCAAGTGACCCTGAGGCAAATGGGTTCACCTTACAAGTGTTAGACGAAAAGAGGAGGGCTATTCAGTCTCAAATTCAGTTTCAAATTTACTTCTTACCAATAGGCCACATTTCCTTAATAGTTGGTATTCTATCTATGCTTTTGTTGTTGACTTCTGTGAGTCACTTCAGCTGTCCTGATTGACTTGCATAAATTAATAACGCTTTTAGTTAGAATGCCATTGTCTCAGTTTGCATGGAAGGAGGGGGAGAATAACATCTGGCAGTTTTATTTAAAAGCAGAATATTTCAGTCTTCTCTTCCTGGTGCACAAAAGAGAAGGGAAAGGGGATTGGAGAAGCCTGAGAGTTCAGACAGACTCATTTACACACCAGGGCACCCTGGCTTCCCATTGGGTCTAAATCAGGCCTTTCTCGCCAGTCTTCAGGCTCTGGGTTCCCTGAAAATGACTATTTATGTACATGTTCATTTCTCACTGGTTTTCATTTCGTTACTAAGAAATTCTCAACTGTCTTTGCTGACATGGCAAAAGATAATGTAGACATGTTTCTATTTCTGCCATGCCGTTGTACAGTCTATCCATTCAGGAGGTCCTCCACACAGGACCTCCAGTACCTGTGGAATCTGCTATTGCAGCCTGCAGTGATGGCTACCAGCCTGGACACGTTGAAAGGAGATTAGACAAATTCACTAGTGGCTACTAGTCCTGATGGCTATAACCACCAGTATAAAGCAGTATGCCTCCTTATGCCGATTGCTGGGGAACAGGAGCAGGAAGGTACCAGTGCACCCTCATCCTTCCTGTAGGCACCTCAGAAGGAGCTTGGTTGGCCACTGTGTGAATGGGATGCTGGAGCAGATGGCCTTTGGGCTAATCCAGCAGGGCCTTTTTTCTGCTATACCATTTGTTCTGAGGTACAACTAATTTTCCTCCCTTGAACTGTGGATAGTTTACAGCCTTTCAGATTACTAAATTTCTCAGCATAATATGCAGAAGTGAGCACTTCTTCTGTTTCTCACTTCTCCTGGCTGAGGAAAAGAGCAAGTTAAGTAGAAATGAAAGAAATATTTTTTACAAATTGGCTCTTAGTTTTCACGCCAAGGTTAAGTTATCTCTCTTTACTTCTGTTTCTGTTTAGAAAATTACCTCACTGTTTATAATTCAGATGGAGTCTTTCCACTTTCCCACATTTCTTCTCATAACAGTTATCTCTCTGTGTGTGAGATGGGGGGTAAGGGAGCCATCCCATTTTGTTTCCTACCTGAAGCTTGAATAACATTTCAGAATGAAGCAGTTATTTATGAATTTCAGTAGCATAAGTGCCTGGATGAAAAAGACTAAAGTGCTTAATTCTCCATTTGGCCATATGACGTTCTATTTCTTGTTCAGAAAGTTGCACACAGTGGACTAATAATTGTTCTTGTGCAAGGCATGAAAACCAAAGTGGATCGACCGGCTGTGCTAAAACCAGTGTTCTGATCCTTACTGATGTCAGTGGTCTGGGATTTGGTGAAAGGTTCTCTGAATATCTCCCGCTAATTATCTTGTTTAACAATGCTTAATACTGATTGTTGTCAGAACTTCCCAAACTTGGTGCATGTTTTTTTTTCTCTCTCTCCCCCTCCCTCCTTCTCTTTCTCTCTTCCCTCAACTTAGTTACATTTGTGCCACATTTTTAATCCATTTTTCTTTCTTAAAGAGTAAAAGTTAGAGAGAAAATGGTGAAAGAGGAAAGTGCTCGTGGAAGCCCTGAACTTCTACCAGACACTGTGTCCCAAAGAAAGATTCGCCCAGTGCCTGTTAATGCCATGCCTCTTCAGTCAGAATCATCTGCCTTCCATAGGGTTGCCAGTCAGCCATTTAGTTTGGTATCCCAACCAACACATGGTTATGTCCAACCTGCTGGAATCGCTCATACAGCTAAACTGGTGGCATGTGAAGAACCAGAAAACAACTCTGTTAGCAGCGTCCCTGTGCCAGCAAATGCCACATTTATGATTAGGTCCCTGCCAGATACTATGATGGAGGAGGAAAAAAGTGACTTGCTTGAGGATCCTCAGTCATTGAAGCGTGATTACACTGGTGTGGCGGCTGAGCAGGAGAGGCAACCTGTTTTACCTTCAGAGGTCTGCAGGCAAGACAAGAGCAGAGAGAACCACTTAAGAAGAGATGACTCCAAGAAACTTACGACCGGCAAGCCGAAGTCTTTGGAAACTCAGAGAGAGTTAGACTGTGTTAAGCAGTGGATGCCTGAACCTCAGGTGAAGACTCAAGAGAACATTGAAAGGAGTGAAAGAATTGTGTATCTTCAAAGGGCTAAAGGGAAGGTTCAAGCTCAGGAAGAGAATCCCGCGAAGCATAAGCTCATTACTCGATCACTGTCTGATTATTCTGGCTCGCCTAAAATAGAACTTTTCAGAAGTAAGGAGCATGTTGCAAAGAACACAATGGAGTTTCAGAGTACTGAAGCAAAGGTCCCCCAAGCAAAGACCCCCAATGGTGAGATAACCATGGTTGACACAAAAGTCTCTGTTGCCCAACTCCGTAATGCCTTTTTGGAAACTGCCAATGCCAGCAAGAAACCTGAACTGTAGGTGACTTTTTCTGAATTTTGTTTGTTTGGTGTGACACTTGCACGTCCTTGGCATAAATGGCACTGAAAACTCAACATCAGTTGCGTTCTGCAGCACTTCAAATACACAGTTCAACTCTCATCTGCTGTGTCTTGGAAACGGAGTTGGCCTGAATTCTTTTGTTTGTTTGTGCTTCTGCTTGCTTAGTGCAAGTTCTGATGTTGGGTGGCTGGAATGGAATGACTTTGTCCCTCTTTGCATGGTTTTCTGCCAGCATGCAGAGTGATTTATAATGCATTTATTTAATGGGATGCTTATATATACTTCACCTTTCTCTCTCTCTCTCTCTCTCTCTCTCTTTCTCTCCCCCCTCCCCCCATCCTAATTCTTTGTTTCCTCTCTCTAACCTTCTGTTGTGGTAAAAAGGGAACCTCATTTTGAGATGCCAACATCAGGTACTGATTTGTCTGGCAGTGCTGAACGCGAAAGAGGGTCACGCAGGCCGAGACGCTATTTTTCTCCTGGGGAAAGTAGAAAGACTTCTGAGAGATTTAGAACACAACCTATAACTTCAGCAGAGCGAAAAGAAACAGATAGGTAGGCATTTGCTTAGCTGAGCACGCTGGTGTAGCATTATCGAGACTGACACTTTGCAATAATGAAAGTAGCCTAGTCTAGGTTTTCCAAAATAGCTATTTTTTCAATGCAACTTAAATATTATTTGGTGAAGATAGGGGTACAGAATCTTCTGGGAACCTGGTCTGGGACTCAGGAGTTCTTCAAATGGCCGCATATTATTTTCCATTGTCCTGGCTGCTTTCCCCAAGCACTGGTGGTTTGCCACCTGATGTGCAGTTTTCCTTGGTGTAAAAGGTTTAAATACTTTTCTTAAAGCTTTAGTTACTTGCAGTAAGAGCTCTAAGCTAAAAACATGCTGGTATTTTTGATCCTAATTCCTTTGCATTAGACTTCCCTACCAGTGGAATGTACCCCCTAAGAGTTTTTTTTTGAAATGAAACACCCCAGAGATAGGGTATTATTGCAGTTTTTAATGTTTTAAAATGTTCAGTGTATTCTAAAGTAAAAGTAGCACTGTAATGGACCTAAATGTGTCTGTATACAGAAAATAAGGGTTTGTTATTTATATTTTTAAGGTAAGTTTTAAAAAAGAGAGAGGGACAGTGTCTAGACCTCAGCCAAGAATTGATTGGTGTACAAGTGATAGAATATTTCAAGTTTTGACCTTATCTGAGATTATCCTTTTTTATGCAACTTATATCTGGCTGGAATTGCTTGCCTTCCTGCTTTAATGGTAATTATAAATGAAACAATATTATAATGTGAAAAGCTTTCTCAGGTGTCCCTCTTAACCATGATTAAGTGTAGGGGGTTGTGATTTAGTTCTTCCTTTCAGTTGATTTATTCTTTCTGTTCCATAGGTCTGCGCTCAGCCCAGAAATGCCAGCTCCTGATGGTAAGAGGTTTTTCTATTCACAGTTTTTCTGGGTTATTTTAAATCCCATGGCTTCAAGCTTTTGGTGGCGACCGGGACACCTTGGCTGAATCTGAGCCTGGATACTGCAGCTGGCCTCCAGTTATCATCCCCAGAGGTGAAATGCGCCATGCAGAGGAAATACAGCTGTGACCATGGAGATAAGCGGCAGGTCTTTTGGGGGCCCATTTATTGCTGACTGGCTTGTCAACGTGGTCAGAAAGGGTTTCTGTCCTTAAACTTTTGTTTAATTTTTTTGCATATAATGATTTTTCCCATTTGTTGAATTTTATACCATTTAAAGATTAAAAGCCTAAAATACAAAATATTATAATATAAACCAATTGTATGCAGGAATATACATTAGTTTTGCAGAATAAACAAGCTATTCTGCACTCATTACAAATCTTATCATATGCTGCCAAATGCCTGATAGAATTCAAAAGCCTTAACGTGGTGCAGGAAAGCAGTGCAGGTCAATAGCGGGCAGATCTGCTTGGGGAGAGCATTCTGCACTCATGCAGATTACAGCGTGTCATCATTTACAGTTTCTTGACTAGAGACAATAATATCAAATAGTCCAAATAGTGTACTAAGAAAAATAATAAATTCCCCATCATATTCCTTTTCATACATATTTACATCGTATTGATCTGATTCATTGTTAGGGTAGCTATGGTTGCAAATATATATTTTGCTCCTGTTAGGGCACAAGCAGGCAGGTGCAGTTTCCCAGTGTTTTGGCCTAGCCAGCATAACCCGTGCTGAGGGATAATAGGAGTGTGAGGTCTCAGGTTCTTTGGCATACAAGCTGCCTGACCTTGTTCAAGCCACATTATCTTCCACGGTCTTTCCATGTTTGTATCTAATATTCAGTTTTTGCTAAATTTTTCTTATATCCAAACACTCTGAAACAGACTATAACTCTATCCATAGGAACTCTAACTGACGGGACTGGATCCTGGAAAGCAAAAACAGTATCATCTGCATATAGCATGATCTTTGCCTCATATTGGTTAATTTCAACTCCTTCAATATTTCCATAAGTTCTTACTGCTATGCCATCATTTTAGTACCAATGCTAAATAAAAAGGGAGATGTGGGAATCCTTTTCTGTTACCCATCACCGTAACTTAGTTATAAAAAATGTGACCATTTATCAGTGCCTTATAAAATCTTTGCATCCACCTGGAAAAACTTAGCCATGTGCAGGCACTAGCACTCCTTTCCTGCAGCGTAAGAACTGACCTTCATGCTATCAGTTTAGGAGCTTCTGGATTTCATATCACAAGGCATTCAAGGTTAACCTAAGTGTTTGCTCAGGAGGATCTCCCCAGCTGACCTCAAGAGCCCTGGCAAGATATCTAGGAAAAACCTATCTTCGAGTATCTTGGTCCCAAGCAATTTAGAGCTTTGGCACGATCATCTTGCTTCAAGGATTGACAGATAGGCACTGCAGGTTTTGAAGAACTAGTGTAATATTTTCCTTATATGTGCTTGTTAAGGCTGCGGCTGCTGCATTTTGCCCCGGCCACATCTTCAAGCCATCTTCAAGGCAGCCCTGTTCACATTGGTTCATTCACAGAGCCCCATAGTGGGGCATTTTACAAAAAATGAGAGGGAAGCTCCCTGCCCTGAGGGGCTTACAATCTAGACATTGAAACAGGCAAGGAAAAAGAGGTGAAAGTAAAACAGAGGCACAGGTAGAAGGGGTAGGAATTGCATGATATCACACAATTATTTCAGTGATAACATACAAAAGCATGTTTGCCAAATCATGAGGCTGTGTGGCCAGCACTGGTCTCCAGACACCAGAAGCTGGTTTATCTACCTTCAGTATAAATTGCAGGCGAAAACTGGAAAATAACTTCTTTGTTTTAATAATTGGGATTAGCACCCCATTGGGAACAGGGGGAGGGGATTCTTTCGCTCTCTGAAAATTGCTTTGTGACACACGCTGCAGCTAAGATCCTCAGTAAAGGGGCTTGGGTCCATCCTGCCCAGAGCTGAACAGACCTTCGCTTGCTTGATAGGCTCCCTGGCCAGTCATTCCCTGGCTTATTCATGTGTAGCTGCAAGAGTGTTTCAGAAGTGCCTGGGGGATGTTACAACGTTCTGTTCTTTGTTTCCTGTAGATGAGGAGAAGTTGGATGAGAGAGCCAAGCTGAGTGTTGCTGCAAAAAGGATGCTTTTCAGGGTAGGTGACCTCCTTGTCTTGAGAGAGGTGGAACTTATCTCACTTTCAGAGCCACAAGCCTGTAGGGAGTGGCAGTGTGTTTGTGCTTGTGTGCAAAATGCCATTATGCATATGCCAGGAACTTTCCTGTAAGTCTCACTGGTTTCCCATTTCATGTGGTTTTTTGTAAAATTGTGGCTACCTAGTAAAGGGTGGGCAACATGCAGGCCTCATGTGCCTCCTCACCTCGGCCTGTTTTGCAGCCTCTCAAATCCCCAGTTCTGCTGCTTATTCTGGCAGTGGCAGCAAAAAATCCTGGTGAAATTGCTGTGAAACCTGATACACAAGGAGCATGCGGCTTCTTTGAAAGCAAAGCCACCTTCCTGGAAGCCTCCCAGGCAGCAGTGGGTGCTGCACCAGCCCCTACATATTGCCAGGGGGAGAATTGGACCTTCAGACTTCGCCCACCCTGACTTAAGTGGATTTGAAAAGGAAATGTTCAGGCCAAGTCTGGACAATGGCCTTGCTTAGCCAACCTCCTGGTGCCTTTTTGAGACTGATGATAAAGCACCGGAGGTCGTATTTAGCTCTGTGAAGGCAGAGGAAGGCAAGTTGGCTCATGTTTTTATTTATAAAGCTTTCAGCTGTTTCAGCACATCCCTCTTTTTTTTAATCTCTGAACTGAATGTCTACCCATCTTTTTAGCTGTGAGGGATACTCAGCTATAGGCCACCTGGTCCAGTCATCCTTCTTTCCTTTAAACTGTTAATTTGTGTGCCTTTGATTCTAGGAAATGGAAAAGTCAATAGATGAGAAGAGTATTCCAAAGCCACGTTCAAGAAATTCTGCAGTGGAGAGAAGGCTGAGGCGAATGCAGGATAGATCACGCACACAACCCGTTACAACTGAGGAAGTGGTCATCGCAGCAACGTAAGTCCCGGCAATGTGCTGTCTCTCCCTCAGTGTTTTAACTGGATGTTTACTTTTTCATTCTTGAAGTCCCTTTGGCTTGACAGTTAGAAAAGGCACATTGCTAAGGGATGACTTTCTGAACAAGTACATGGTGAGGTGAAGGAAAAAGCTATGCAGCTTCTTGCAGAGGAACTGGGTACAGAGCAGAGGAAGTGCCATGCACTGTGACCTGGAAAATGATTTACAGTATAGTGGTTGTACGATAGTAAGAACACATTAGTAGCAACTTGGGTTGTAAGCCATTTAAAGCTGATTTCTTGCATTGAAGAGCCCTGTACAATTTACATACATGTGGAATCTCCAAGAACTGCAGAAGCCTTGTAGACTTGTTTATCCTCACAATAAAGCATTTCTGTCCTATATTTTGGGCACCCTGTAAAGTTCCTGCAAATCACTAATATTGCTTTCTGCTTCTACAGCCAAGATTTGAGTATGCAAATTAATTTAAACTTGACAGGAAACCAGCAGGTCTTCGAACATCTTTTTTTAAAGAGATTATGGATTCGGCAATGCAATTTTATAAAATTTGTCAAGTATCTTTGACTGGGGGAGAATACTGTTTATCTTCTTTATGTAGTTAACACTTTGTGCTTTTCTTAATACTGTTCTCTTCTCTCTCTCTGTGAATTTTTCCTTCCCTTGACTATTTTTTAAAGTGAACCCACCCCTGCCTCACGTACTGTGAATACCCACTCTGTAGTGACAAGAACACCCAATCCCACTGTAGTTAAGAGCACTGTACATCCTACCAGGTACTGGGGGTGCAACTTGCATGCTACAGGGAACACAAGGGTCATTGTTAGCAAATGCATCTATAAGTGCAAGTGTTGTAAGCGTACCAAGTAGTTGGATGGAACTTTTAGGAAGTTTTTTCTTTCTTGTCACCTCTGCTTGTTGAGCATTTGATTGAGCTTTCCAGCTAAGCACAATGGCTTCTCTTAGAGCGTGCCACTTTCAAAGACAGAAGAGAGGGGGATGCATGATAAAAACCTTGAATAAAGCTTTCTTTGGTGTCACAAATGAACACGAGAAAGCCAGGTACGGTTTGAGATCTCAGCTTGCATCTGCCTCTGTTCCACTCCAACTTCTAACAGCTTACAGAATTAACAGAGGGATGGGAAATTGCACCACCTATGGATGTAATCAAAAATGTCTCTGCTTGCTTCAGTTGCATTTAGCATAACCTGATGCATATAACCAGAAGAGAAGAGGTTCGAAATGCAGTGTCCGAAAATGGCAATGGGTCAAAACCAGTGGAGACCTGTGATTTTTAATGCTAACAGCTTTATTGCAGCTTCCGCTCTTGTTCAATATACCCAATTTTATTTTCAGCTGCCCAAAGAGATTTAGATGTTCTGGGTGGACTTTAGGTTCCTTTGCCACAGCAGCCAATATGGCCTGGTCATCTAGATCTGTTATTAGATGAACATTCAACTAATGCCACACCTGGACCATCAGGCTGTGGCCACTTGCTGGCTCTCCAAAAAAGAATCAAAGGGCCTTCCTCCTTTCTGTTCTTCTCATCTGCTTTCTAACCACCCCCCTGTATATTTCCTGGGGTTTCTCCTTGCTTGGGAACCAACAAAGCTCTGTGCACCTCTAATTCAAGCAAACAGAGGGGACATAATTGGTGAAGCCAAGCAATTGAGTGCAGAGTTTGAAGATCAGTGTGAGATTTCATGACATGTAGTTTTGATCCTCCCTGTTAGCTCTCTGAATCTCCTTATATAATCCTTTGTGTTCTGAACTGGAATAGATAAACTGAGTCTACACTTGAAGACTCCCAACTTTTATTTATATCGACCGAGGCTAAACAATTGGAAGGTGGAAAGGTCAGCTTTGTCAGGCCAGCACAATATTGCGCATACTATGCTCTGGCCTTCTGTCAAACTGTGAGGATACAGTTATTTTCTGTATGTCCCCAGAAGACCAGAACCAGCACAGAACAGCTTTTCCCAGCCTAATGGAATAGTTAACTTATTTTATTGAAGATTGAAATAATGTTGTAAGCCGTCCAGAGACGATAGTAATGGACGGCCTACAATTTTTAAAAATAAATAAAGCTACCCAGGCCCTGACTCCCACCATTCTAGGTCTGTTGAAACTGGTGGGAGCTGAAGCCCACAACATCTAGGCACTGAGGTGGGGAAGTCTGATCCAGAAAACGGAGGGGGGAAGCGAGGAGAGAAACCACAGTGTTACGGTGACATTGTCCTTACTGCTCGTTTTGACTTCTGGGTCTATGATGCAGCGAGGATGCTGCACTTTGTGTAGCCCTCACAGAATCATTGCCACCACCAGTGCTATGCCCTGTATGAACTGTGGTTCTGTGCTAAGAGGAATATTTTCTTTGTTTTTGTGGGTGGTACAAGCTGGACAAGGCTGCACAGGCAGTAGGAATGCAAGAGGCCAACGTGGTCCGGTCATCAGTGTTAAGAACCTAAGAAGAGCCGTGCTGCATCAAACCAAGGGTCTGTCTGGCCCAGCTTTCTGCTAGCAGACAATGCTCACCCTCTGCTCTTTCCTTTCCCTAGATTAGGGAAGATCCTTTGTGCGGACAGTGTGGAAGAAACCAGAGAGGCTGTCTTTAAGTCTAGGCAGCGATACTTAGAAAGAGCATGAGCAGGAGTTGGCACTTTCTTCTTCCGTGACTGCTTTGGTTCCCTCTACACATTAACGTGTCCTCTGTCAAACTGTGTGCTGGCCTCCACGTAATCCCTGAAGAAGAGCCCCAACTAAAATGTTGTGCAGAAGTGTGTGGGCAATTTGCGGCCCTCTGGATAATTTTGCTTACCACCTCTGTCAGTCCTAGCCAGGATAGTCAGCAGTGAGGGATGATGGGAGTTGTAGCCCAAGACATCTGGAGGGTCACAAGTTGCCCATGGCTAGCATAGTGGCTAGGTTAGGATGAGTTCGGAACAGAATGACCCAGCAGTGCAGAGAATGCTTTTAGACTTGTGCTTATGTGTAGCTGCATCCCTGCATGGTGAGTTAATGTTGCGCCTACGATTTGGCAGCTTGGGTGCCCATATGACGCTTCGAGGGCTGCATATGCCCGCCTGCAAGCACCATCACTGAAGCAGCTTTTACAAAGAAGGTGCAACTGCTGTTTTATGCTGGGAGCCCTTCTGGCAGAACAGATAACATTGTTCCAGTGACATGAAGCCAAACTGCCAACACCTCTTTTTGTTAGCTTTTTTTTCCACGCTTTGTCTAAAGCTTTCCTGATTTCTTTTTCTGGCTGTCCAATGTTACGATGAGGCTACTGTCTGCATAGCAACACTAAATATTAATTCAAAGTATTGTTTTAAGGTTGCAGGCATCTGCGCACCAAAAGACTTCAGCAAAAGAAGAAATAAAGGAAGCCAAAGATGCTGCTGAACCAGATTCGTCAGGGGAACCGGACTCTTCCACCCTGAGTTTGGCAGAGAAGATGGCCTTATTTAACAAATTATCCCAACCTGTTACGAAGGCTGTCTCTACAAGGAACAGAGCAGACATTAGGCAGAGGAGATCGAAAGCTCGCTACCAGACTCAGCCCGTGACGCTTGGAGAGGTTGAGCAAGTATGTGTGTAGAATGCTTTCTTCTCGCGACTCAGACCGACACGCGTCTATTCGATAACTTCTGGTTACAGTGGCCTGGTTTATGCTAACCCCATGGTTTGTGGCTTTATCTGGCAGATGGTTGAACAAGGCATTGTTTTCTAAGTTTTTGGACTGTTTGGTTCTGTGCTCTTTTAACTGTTCCCTCCCTGTGTCCCTCCACCTGTTCCCTTCCTATGGAGTACTACCGTACTGGCATGTGGAGTGACTGGCAAGATTGGGTTTGATTTGGCTTTACTCCTCTTGCCATCTCTGTAGGCTGGTGAAAGAACCTCATAGTTCTGAATTTGCACATAACAACTTATGATTTAAATAACCCAGAACTTACAAGTCAACAAAAAATTATGTAAACTTTCTGGGTTGTTTTGGTCAACATACCACAGCTTATTAGCATAGCTTTTTCATACAATCCTGAATTTAACAATTAATAAGTTGGTTTGATGTGTGAACCAGGTAATTGAATCCCAAGTATCACAACTGTCAAGTAAGCTTGTACAAGAGTGGTCCAGGTTGTGATCAAGTGGAAGCACCATGCTTCCTTCATAATATAGCAATATAATTCATGTCACAGCATGGGCAGATAGAAGCTTTTCAGTAAGCAGACTCCTAGAATCCATAAGACACATACTTCAAATACCGCAATTTTGCTCTGATTATAAAATCTTTTGGTAATCTGAAAGAAAATACTTGATATATCCTTTTTAGGGCAAGGAAGTGTTTGGGTTCATTTGTTTTTCACTAAAAACAGGTAAAATGTGAAATCTATTGGCTGTTTCAAAGGATAGGAGGTTCAGTGTCAGCTTAAACACTTCTGGCTTTTATGTATGAGAAACTGGACTTCCAGGGCAATAACAGCAACACAGTATAAACATTGTCAAAGAATCTCCCAATAGGAAGATCTTCTAGGGCTGCTTTCTCCAACCTGGTGCCCTTCAGATATTTTGGGACACAACTCCCCTCATTCCTCACCAGCTTACCTTTCCTTATATATACACAATGGACAGCCAAAATCATCAAAGGAGATCTTGCTGACCATTCCAAGATTGTCAAAATGTCTCTGTGAAGTATCTTGGCCTTCTCGGTGGCGGCACCACCCTGTGGAAAGAACTTCCTTAAACTTTTTAGGAACCAGAAAATTTGGTATCTTCCAAACACCTCCTAGGAATGCACCAATCGCTCAGGCTTTCCCTGACCTTAATTACACCATGTGGTTTTATTTTACTGTTCCTGGATGTGTCTGTAGTATTAGCATTGTGTTATATTGTTTTAAAAGTGTATTGAAATGAGGATTATGATTTTAGTATTTAACTGGAAACTGCATAAGGTTTTAAAAATTAGCAGTATATAAATGGTACAAATACATAAACAAATAGTGAGCATCTAGAAGCCAAAGATTCCCTTTCTTGCTTTAACCACACTGGCTGTCAACAAAATTAGCCAGTAATTTGTGATATATTGAGGGGGGAAATTGATGAAAATATATTTGATATCTTTGAAATCTACTTTGATTAGCGACAGTTTCTACACACAGCTTGAGAATTACAGAGGAGGAGAAGGCACAGGCAGCGCAATTCCCTTCTTCTATTCCTTCTTACTGTTCCTGTGAAAGTTAAACATTGTTTGTGTACTTTGCCACTGCCCCGGATCAATTTTTGAACAGATGCGCTCATGAAGTTCAGGGTTATGAAGGCCTTGCTTGTGAATTATCAGTTCTAAGCCCCCATGTTGCTCCCTAGGTACAGAGCGAGAGTGAGCGGATCGCACCTTTGTCTGCTGCTATTGCCACATCCGTGTCCACCATGGTGAACGCCTTGTCACCAGTCTATAGCAAAGATGTGCATGTGAAAGCAGCAGAAGATAAGACAGGCAGCGAGGTCGGTAAATCCGAGTCCAGATACCACTCCTTAGTGGAAAATGCTGATACGCCATTCAAACACATCCTGAAAACAGAGTGGCGGCGACCCTCGGTGGAAATGCGAGACAGTGACCAACATTCGAGGGAAGCTGAAGAGGCCGAGCCCAAGGGATTCGCACAACGTGAAGGGAATGGCATAAAAAAGCACAGTTCCTTTGAGGAAGAGCACCCACATCCTGTTTTTGATAAAACGGAGGACTACAGCAAAGAGATAAAATACGCATTCCCTAGAAAAAGCAGCATGGAATTGTTTAGCACACAGCCTCTTTGTGACCTTGCTGAACAGAAGGAATTTGTCACCAGCATCCTGCAGGATAAACGAGAAGTCAAAGGCCAGTCCTTTGAAGATACTGTGGAGTTCGAGGGAATAATGACAAGACGAACCCCGCAGAGAGGTAAATGCCTCAATTCCAGCTGTTACTCTAATGTAAACAAAATTGGTCTCTTCATCTTAGGACTTTTAATCAATTAATTGCATGCTTAGATCTATATGAATTTCTAAATTAATAAAACAGTCATGATGGAGGAAAAACAATTTATAAATGATATATCTTTAAAAGCTCCACCTTAAGAGGCATTCCTCTTGAGTGAAAGAAGAAAGAAGAATGCCTCGTCTATTATTCTGGGTATGTGTAAGTAGTTGTATTAAAATAATAATGGAAATAATATTCCCCATCTGGTAGCGGTGCATTTGCTTTATTGTTCCTAAGTGGAGGACTTGGCATTTGTCCCTACTGAATTTCATTCTGTTGTTATCTGCCCAGTGTTCTAACCTATCAAGATCATTCTGTATCTTATCTCTATTTCAGGGTATTTGCTATTCCACCCAGCCTTGTCTGATCTGCAAATTTAATTATCTTTCCTTGTACTTCCTCATCAAAATCATTAATAAAGTTGGTGAAGAGTACCTGTCCCAAGACAGAGCCCTGCAGCACCTCTCTTGTCACCTCTCCCCAGACTGAGCATGTGCCATGGATGAGCATTCTTTGAGTCCAATTTTGCAGCCAATTGTGGATCCACTTAACGGTTGCACTATCTAGCCCTCTTTTTGCTAGTTTGGTAATGAGCGTGTCGTGGGGCATTTTGTCAAATGCTTTGCTAAAGTCTAGGTAATGTCCACCATGCATTTTGGAGGTTACCCATTCAAAAAAATGAAATTAGATTAGTCCAGCAGATCTCTAAGGCCAAATCATGCCCCATAACGGGGGGCACCAGTATGGCCAATTGCTGGCAGTACAGTACAATTAAGAACATAATAGCCTAGCTGGACTGGATCAAAGGTCCATCTAGCCCAACTTTCTATTTATGTGAAACTCACAGCAGGACCTGAGTGCAGCAGCTCCTTTTTGCCCATGTTCCCAAGCCACTGTTGTAAAAAACCAACACTGCTGGTCTAACACTTCTTTTAAACGTAATGTTTGGCAGTATCCAGTACTTGCTTGTTTTGGGGAAGCGTACCGTGTTGATAAACATTGTACTAGAACAGTCTTTAATATTTGGGAATTGTTGGAAATGAGAGGGACAGTTGTTCTTGGCATGTTTTCCCAGGTCATGATGATCCAGACTCATTGGAGGTGCGGGGGGAGGGGGGGGACTGGGAATTTGGGGCTTCAGACCTGGAGGTAGGAAAAACAGAGCAGCTTATCTCATGGCCACTCCTCAGGTGCCAAGGCAATCTCTGAGAGTAACTGAGATGTATGATTGACAGGAGGGGGCCTGGGAGAAGCTTTTTGAGAGCCAGACTAAGCACGTCTGTGTCTAGATCCCATGACATGTTGGGAGAGTAGCGCTAGCCAGCTAGAGGAGTGGTTTATGGAGAAATGTGCTCCCTTCCAGAGGACCCATCCCTCTCAGACATACTCAGAAAGAGGGTTCTCAAAAATAGTTGATAGATCGGGGTACAACAAACCATTCTGTCCATGCTCCAAGGTTTATCCTGTGGTGATTGAGTTTAATAGATGTACTCTGGTGAATAAAGAACTTTTGGCAAGGAATGGTCTGTGGTCTTTGAATGTGCAAAGGGAGGAGAATGAGGCTCGTGACAGGAATGTGCACACTGCTTTAAATCACTTATCTGCTTCATGGTTAGCATCAATGACTCCTCTGTGCATTTTTGACTGCCAAAAGATGAATATTACAACGTTGGAAGGATAAACATTTAACCTCTATAATGCAGTGGATTGAGGACCTGAAGCGTTCCATATACATGCCATTTTAAATAGACACTTATTTGGATATCTGATCTGCTTTTACTGAAGCCTATGCATAATTATTAAGTAATTGCATCTGCATTTCATATGTATTTCATTGTTATGGATACATAAAATCCATGTGTGTGTATTTAAAAAAAAACTAAAATAGACTTGAAAGAAAAATGAGGGGGGGTCACTATGAAGAAGATATAACAGTGTATAAACAATATTATTTTCTCTTCTTTGGATTCCACCCTCCCCCACATCCCTGTTTTGCTTTATTGCAATCTATTTCAGTTGGTTCCCAAGCTGGCTTGCCCACAGTCCTAAATTCTTGATGCAGTCAACTTTTTGCCTGCCTCCACAAGGCCTTCTGTTTCATTCTCTGGCAGAGTAATGGGCCTTGCCATTGTGCTGTTATACAGCAAATTCTTTGTCCAGACTAGACATTATTCCATCTTGAGCAAAGTTGGAGGCACAAATCTAAGGCCAACGTTTACTCATAACAGTGTTTTTAAAGCATGAAGAAAATAAAATCTACTGTATTCTAATCCTCTTTTCTCAATTCACTTCTTAAATTTTGCAGGGGAGATGGGTCGCTGTCATTTTAGGCCACCTAGAAAGTAACTTTGCAGGTGCCTTAAGGGGGAAACCACTGTTCAGGCTCCCCTAGGATAACAGTGCATTCATTTAACACATGAAAAGTAGCTGGTATAGGTCTGAGGTTTGGCCAGATCTAGTCCCCATCACAAGGAAGGGACCATTGTCAGGTAGAAGAGCCAATAGTCCAGAAACTGCAGGAGGAAAAGAAATAGCAAGCAAGCACAAAATAAGTTCATCCTGATATTTTTCCATTAACAGTTGCCCAGACTAATAGAACGGAGGAAAACTTTCAGCTGTGATATTGCTGTATTGTAATAATACAATGCCTGCGAGTGTCTTTTTTCTGGACAGGGCATTGCATAGTTTCCAGAAAAACTTTTGAAAAATCAGGGGAAACTTTTGAAAAAAGAAGCTTGCTCCATTGTGATGTACCCCCCTGCATTTCTCTGTCATTTTTCCCTGTGTTGGCAGTCTATGAAAAAGACAGTTGCCTCCTCTCCTGTATCATTTGGGACCAATTACACGTTCTCCAGGCTCAGTGAAAGCTCTTAACTTGAAGGATCAGGCATAACCTTTTCCCATGTCCTAGGTATGTGTACACAATGGTAGGTTTCTGGCATCCTAGGAAATATCTGTCCCCCCCTTCACCTTCCAATTGTGTATCATTACATTGGGGTGTTAGGAGAATTTCTGTGAGTAAGAATCTCTGATTAGCTTATCATTCCATGAAATTTAGTATTATTTACAATGCTGTGGTTTTGCAAAGCATATAAAAGTAATTTTCATGGTAAGCATCTCATTTGTAACTTGAGTAGTATAATTAGTCATAAAAAGTAGAAGTTAGCTATCAATTTCAGTGATGCAGGATTTTTATATTATTTTTATTTTCTGGCAGTTAAGGACTGATTCTGAATTTCTCCCCCTTAGAGCATGATGAGCCAATTTCAGAACTTGTGGGAACAGCCACAACAAAGAGTTTTTCTCAGTCTGCAGCTGTGGTATCCTGTAGGCAGCAGGAAACCTCTGAGCTATTCAACAGAAAACTAGACTTCAGGGAGAGCAAAGCTGAATTAACGGAGGATAGCCTTGATACAACCAGCAAAACCATGTCAATTAAAGAAAGGTAACTATACTCTTTTCTTGAAATGTGTGTTTTGCCTTTTATCATAGATGGATTAGGTGTGGTGTGCAAGAACATTCATTGTGGGATTCCAGAATTGGTACTTTAGGTAGAATATTCTGAACTTGTTGACTGTTTGAAAAAAAGAAAGAAAGCTTAGTTGGAGAGTGAAGCTATAAAATAGGTATTTGTTCATTCTTGTGAATTTGGGAAATAGAAATTAAAGTTTAAAATGCACAATATGAAAATTACATTCTAGGTCATATTTGTCAATCAGAACTCTGAACTAGTTGCTAAACTGTTGGACTAGCTAACAGTGGGTATTCTATGATAAAAACACCATATTTTGAGTCTCTGCTCTTTGTTATTAAACACAGAAACTGCCCTTAATAGCTATGGAAGTAATACCTGGATGAGCAAGATTTTTCTTATGCTTTACCCCCTGCCAATGACCAACAGAAGCAGAATCAATTGTGCAAATTCCCTGGATGTGTGTGAATATGCATAAATTACAAGCTACAATTCAGTTTCTCCTGGTGTGAAATGTAGGTATTCCTTTAGCTTATAAAATGCACAGTCTCGATAATAGATGCAGGTGTAACCATATTCTTGCATGGGAGAACAGAGAATGTGTCATTTTCAAAATACCAAGGAGGTGCTAGTGCTGCATGTATGTATTCAGCCGAGAAGTCCTTTGGGGAGTGGCGTGCTGCCCTCCTGTCTGAAGGAAGAATCAGAAAAACAAATCGCCAGGCAAGGATGATGGAGAACTTTAACCCCAAGCCTCTGGCTGCCGCAAAACCTCCGGCTTCCCCAGAGGCTGATGAATAAGCACATGCTATGCATCAAAGACTCCAAATAGGGGTCTCCTGGGCAGGACTGGGATTCCCCCTTGCAGTGCCTTAATACTTTGCAGATGAGGATGGAAGATTGCTCATAACTTGGACATTTCCCTAAGGAAAAAGGAAGCTCAAGGATCGCAGCGCTCTACTGGGGTGGAGCAGTCGTAGCTGTTATTATTTCGGCATCAGTATGAATATACTGTACAAAGTAATATAAGCAAAAGGACAGTTCTCTGCCCCAAAGTGTATTCAATCTACAGTTTGATGGGAGAAGACAATACTATATTTCAGTGGTGGTGAACCTACGGCACGCGTGCTGCAGTGGGCACATGGAGTCCTGTCTGTCGGCACGCAAGCCAATTCACCCCAGCAGCCGAGCATCAGATAGCAGCGCCCATAGGGGCCAAGCGCATGCCTGGAAAGGAGTAGCGGCGCCAGGCGATGACATCACAAGCCACAACTCATGATCCATGTCTCGACCGAGGTTTCGTATGGCCAGTCAGTCTGCTGCCAGGGATAAATAGATATTTGCTTGGACTGATTGTGAGTTGTTTTTTCTAAACTAAAACCTCAGTTTTCAGGTTTTCTTGCAGTGTTGGCACTTGGTGATAAATAAGTGGATTTTGGGTTGCAGTTTGGGCACACGGTCTATAAAGGGTTCATCATCACTGGGTTGGAAATAGAAAAATGTGGTGTCCTCATATGATTTTGATGGTTGGAATGTGTTTAGAATGGGCAGAAATGTTGAGATGTGCAGAAAAAGCTACTCAAGGAAGGCTTTTTCCAAATCTTGTTTTCAATGGAACTTTTGCCCTATATTAGGGTTATGGGTGTGCACCAGGGTAGGGTTAGGGTACAAAAATGAGGTGTCCTGGCATGATTTTGGTGGTTGGAATGTGTTGAGAATGGGCAGAAATGATGAACCGTGCAGAAAAAGCTACTCAAGGAAGGCTTTTTCAAAATTGTCCTCTTTTCAATGGAAACTTACCCATATATTAGGGTTAGGGTGTGCTGCAGGGTAGGGTTAGGGTTACAAAAAGGAGGTGTCCTGGCATGGTTTTGGTGGTTGGAATGTGTTGAGAATGGGCAGAAATGATGAGCTGTACAGAAAGAGCTACTCAAGGAAGGCTTTTTCCAAATCACCCTCTATTCAATGGATCTTTAGCCCTTTATTAGGGTTAGGGTGTGCCCCATGGGAGGGTTAGGGTTAGCAGTCGAGCATCGGATAACAGCGCACTTCGGGGCCATGCGCATGCTCGGAAAGGAGTAGCAGTGCCAGGCAATGATGTCACGAGCCACAACGTATTAGTCGTGACTTGTCTGAGCTTTCGCATGGCCAGTCATTGTATTGCCAAGGATATGTATATTTGCTTGGACTGGCTGTGAGGTGTTTTTTCTAAACTAAAACTTTAGTTTTCTTGTTTTGTTGTAGTGTTGGCACTTTGCGATAAATATGTGGGTTTTGGGTTGCAGTTTGGGCACTTGGTCTCTGAAAGGTTCGCTATCACTGGTCTGTTTGAATGGTTTTAATGCAGTGGCTTACTCAGTGGGCATGAAAGTATTTATGGCTAAAATATAGGCTGTATTTTATTATCCCCATGTTTCTTGATTTTTTGTTTATGAATGCTATGTTCAGTATATTGGCTAAAATTTTGTTTTCCTAAGTATCAAACCGAAGGCTTGCTTATAAATGTCTCATAGTATTTTTATTGTTATACAGTTTTTCAGATTGTTTGGCTGTCACTTGGTATGTTTGCATCTGTTCTTTGTGTTAGGACATCTCCATAGTTTCTCACTGGAAACTGGTGACGGCAGTTTCTGCGTATACAGAATGGAGCCCGCTCACAAATCCATTCATTGCTGCATAAATACGTGCAACAATGCTTTGAAAAAGCATGGAAAGCTTATGTTGGATACATTACAACCTCATTCAGCACGGTGTCTTTCGGTTTTATTTCCTCCTTCCCCGTTTTCAGGCTGGCCCTCCTAAAGAAGAGTGGTGAAGAAGACTGGAAAAACAGGCTGAATAAAAAGCAGGAATGTGGCCGGATGCCAGTCACTGAACGTGGCCCACAGCTGCAAGAGATGGAGCAGCTGTTTGCAAAGAAGGTAAAGTTGTCCACTTAGGGAAAGCATTGCACTTGAAAGCACTTCAGCGCTGCGCAGGCATCATACGAGACAAGCACGCCTGTCCTGAGGGGACATCCTCCGCTTTTAGCATGGCATCCACCTTCAGCAGGGCTTGAACTTGTAAAGAATAAAGTCTATCTCCTCATGCAGCAGGGACTCAGAACAGAGTTGTTTTCATGTCTGAACAAAAGGCTTTATTTGCTCATGATAACAGAAGGTTTACACCTAAAGAGAAGAGCAGTAAGTGCTTACTTGAAAGTTGTCTCACTGATGGAAGAATTTCACAATTAACTGATAAAAGAACCAAAGTTCCTTAAAGTTTATCTAATGTAAAAGAAGCTTTTGTGATGGCCAAGGTAAGATCCTTGCTCATTAAGTTCAAACATGTTCCTAGTGGGGAGGAATTTCTGAAAGGTCAAGGTGTTCTGCCTGCATGAAGATGACCTTATTCTTTCCCCCTGTGTGTTTAGACTTTTTAAGCTTTAAGTTACAACAATCAGTATGCCATATAATCACTTGTATACTTGAGTTTCCTTAAAGTTTCTTCCAGGCAGAAAACCATGCTGCTCTGTTTCAGCACAGTAACAGCAGTTTTGTGGCAATTTTAAGACGTATTTACTGTAGAGTAAGCTTTTTGAACTAGTCAAGACAAGCTTAAGCCATAATATATCTTGCTTTAAGATACCATAACATTCAAGCACCAGATTAGGTATTTTATGGTTTTGTTATGAGTGGAGGCTAGAAAAGCTTGCCCACAACAAAAAGAACTGCAATTCTGGAAAACTAGTAACCCAGAATTTCTTTAGCATTTTGAGATGTGACTCCTTCAAAAGTCCCTAGAGTCTGCCTAGAGAACTTTGACACAGTAAAATCTAAAACAGCTAGATGAGGTTTTATTTACATAAGAAAGGAGTTTTACTGTTACTGCAACCACAAGTCATAACAAAAGCAAAATACGTACACATTCGTAAGATAGATAAGAGCAAACTGCATGTACTAGCCTAAAGCAGTTACAAACCTGATGGATGGATGTATACTAAAGCCAGTCTAAGATACTGTTTGGCAGATGTCTAAGAGAATTAATGGATAAAATGTGCTTTCTGATTTCAAAAGATAACATAGTAAAAAAGGCCACTTGATAACTAACACAGGGGAATTCATCTGCCAAGAAAAAGTTTATACATTCCACTTTGCAACCCCCAAAATATTAATAATCCGACCTAACAGCCTGCTCCTTATTGTTTCATAAGAAGGTCAGTGTGGAACATAATACGTTAGATCCCCCATCTGTCCTTAGCCTCAGAAACAGAAATACCCTTCCACAGGGATTTTAGGATATTTCCCCTCAACGTATGCTGAAAACATGGTGTTACTTACGTTATTTACAGCAATTAGTTCTTCCAGTTCACATACAACATACATGTCATGGCTAACAAGACTGAGCGAACATGAGGGTTTCTGACTACTTGCCCATTTTGACTTTGCCTCATTACCCAGACACTCAAGCCCAGAACTCTGTTGTTGAGGGAGAAACAACCCAGAGTTTTAAACCAAGAACAAACCATAGATCAACATTCTGGGTTGTTTCTTTTTCAGCAACCCAGAATTCCTGGTTCACACATCACCGGCTGCAAGCTAGGGAAGCAGCCGCCTTGGGTTGTTTAGCAAAGCCTAGGCAGGTAAGCAGCTGGGGGCCAGCAGGCCAGACCACCCGTGCAGCCGCACGAGCTCCCTTGCTGCCTGGGGAGGGGGAGACCCACGCACGCACTATGACCCTGCCCACCACATGGTCCTTTTGACAGGTGCTTCCTCCAGTTATGCAGCAGGGGCTCTGCGTACACTTGCCGAGTCCCATTGAATTCGATGGGGCTCATATCTTAATAAACAAGCGTAGCTCATGCTGCAAGGTTTAGGTTGATTAAGGCCCAGGGTTAAGGCTCTACTGGGCTGTTGGCTTTTGTATTAGTTAATATAACTGTAGTGCAGGGAAAAGGATCTTCCTGACCTTCAGCCTATGAATAGCAGCTTTTGTTATGCAAGTTCTAATTGGTCTTTCAGTTCCTTCACTATCTCAAAAAGGAATTTGTACTAAAGTTCCAGTACAAAACTAAAGTTCTAGTATGACACTTGATGTGCATTTAATTGAGCAACTGGGTTAGTTCTAAAGGGACATGATTAACCAACTAACCATCCTTTCATCACATGACCTGCTGTGAACACATCCCCTCTCAGCCTTCATTTTTATTCTAAGCTTAATCTGGCCCAGTTTGAGATAGTAGTAAAAGGAAGCATTGAGGATACTGGGCATTGGCAGCCTCTTGGAAGTACTAGCTCCCCTGTACACACACTTCTTTTTGTTTTGGTATGATAGGTTTAAGAAATGCTCATTCTTTTTGTAAAGCTCTGCCTAAACCTACTCCTTGGCCTTAGGACAACCACCTAAGTATTGCCAAAAAAGGGGACAAAAGAGCATGCAGATTTATATAACTTTGGCACATGCCAATTAAAGCTATGAATGTAACTCTGGAAAGCTTTGCGATCATTTACATAGAAATACAACATCCTTCTCCATATTCACCCAATAGCGTGTGCCTGCTCAGTTTGCCATCCAAGTGCTACTGGGGGCAGCTTCAGGGCCCTGCTGCCCTCTCTTCTTACGGTTCTTCATCTGTAAACTAGACTTGCACCAGAGAGGCCTGCAAATAGAGGACTGGCCTCTGTAAAAGAGGTCACAGGGCCACAACATAAAACAACAGTGAAAGTTATTGTCTAGTGTTGTCTAGACAAGTTGATACACAAAGGAGGTTCACAATAAAAAAATAAAATAGTGAAAATGCCAAAACTGCATGTGCTTGGAGGAAGAAATAAATGTTCATGAGGGTTTTCTCTCTTAAGGTCTCATAAAACAGAAGTTACTTCATTTGGAATGTCCTCTCATTGCAATTCTGCTATCATAGCCTTACATTCCAAAAATGGTTGCTGGTCAAGCATCATGTGTGGAAATAAAATATGTCTTCTTTTTTGGATTCAGCATTCAATGCCTCAGAGATCCTTCTCTACTGAGTACATGAAGCCTGGTGTCTCTTTGATATTTTATAAATGATGGCGTTATTTCTAGGGCTGATGAAAACGGCAGTGGCTGCTGAGTCCTGCATGCTGCTTGGATGCCATGCAGATGTGTCATACTGGGAATGGTCCAGGAAGTGACCAATCCTAGGTATGGCCTTCTTGCGTTCATGCCAGTTGTGCCTGCCATTGATCCTGCATGCTTTTTTGTGCGACTGCAGTAAGTGGCTGACATTGCTTAGCATCATTTGCATGAATTTTCATATGCAACACGCAAAGGCAGGCTGTACCATTTCTGCATAGCATTGATACTGTGGTGAACTTGTGCACCCATCGAATGGATAGAACTGCAATGCTTTTTGGCAATACTATTAATGCACCCAAATGCTTAAATAGACTTGTGCTTGTGATCATCTGTTTCTGGGGGATAAATACCATTCCTGAAAATTCAGGCCTGTTGTCTCTTTCAAAAGAATATAGAAAACAGAAAGCCTTAGAAAGAAGTTTTCCATAAAACAATTATTTTTAGAATGAGAAATTTTTAAAATTTGATGGCCTTAAAATCTAAGTGGTCTTTTGACATAAAAAGGCTTTTTAATTGAAATGAGGATGCACTATGCATACTAGTATGTTGAAAATTTGCACAAATGCTTTTTTCTACATAGAGTACAACTTGTATAATATCATATTTCTTTCAAAAGAAATATTTTCAGTAGATTTATACCCTTTATTGTATATGCCAACCTTTAGAGTACCAAAATGGGCTATTAATAGATAATGAATGTATTGTTTTTGCAAATCAGGTTATGAAGTAATATATTGTATTGACAAAAATGTACACTCCATCTTAACAGCAACAGTTTTCCTTGGAGTATCCCAGCCATGTCAGCATTTCAGTTGATTACATACATTAATAAAGTCGTGTCTGTTTATTATGTTAAATTCTCAGGATAGGAGTAAAATGATAACTAAGTGTGCACTTGTATGGATCTGAATAGCCAGTGTCCAGCCTCTCCATCCAATTTTTTGTCAATTTTCCTGTTGATCGGCCTCTGAGCCATCTAGAGAACTTGCACCTCCTGGGCTGAGGTGGGGTTGGGCAGGAGAGGCCGCAGTCTTTCTCCCTTCGCCTCTCAGCCCTGCACACTGCCACTCCTCCTTTCAAGCCCCACTGAAATCCTCTGAGATATTTTGAAGCTCGCATTGCAGTGCTTCTGGGAGGGGACGGGCGAGGGCAGTGGATTGGACTCTGGAGTGCTCTGTCTAAGGTCACACTCAGGCCTGCAGCATTGGAGGGAGACTCTGAAGAATCCCATGGTCTCTTGGATGACTTCCCAGGACCATAGAATTACTCTGTAAAGCTGATGGATTTTCATATCTGCTTTGCCTTCTGGTCTCATTCTCCCTTCCCTCCCTCATTATTTCCATACTAATGCAAGAAGTTCAAATCCTCTCTGTGGGGTTAGCTGTCTCATTACTGAAATGTGTGCTCTTATTCACTAGCCAGCTCAACATTCCAGATTATTCAGTGAGCTCCGGGTCAATCCTCTTGAATATTACATCCGCAAAGGGGATTGTTTCATTCCAGCAAAGAGCTCCTGCAAAACAGCAAAAGCAAAACAAGAGCAGTTTTTAAATCTCTAGCGGAGAGTTCAGAGTGATCTTCGCAGGGTTGTGTGCAGAGATATCGTGATCTTTAGCTATTCCGGTATCAAGAGTCAATACTGAAAATAGGGGTGGCAGATGAAACCTGGGTCTAAACCACTGGACGGCCGGCTGCTTCGCTAATGGAATCTGCAGCTTTTACTCCATGCAGTGCACCCCTTGTGAGCTTGAATCCGACTGGGAGCAGTGGCGCTTGGAATGCAAGCTACTTTCTGTAGCTATTCCATTCTATTGCTCTCTGCAATCTCTCCTGTTTGTTTTAACCTGTAGGAAGAAGGAGGAGTTACAGATGATAATGCCATGTCTAAGCTGCTTTGGGTAAGCCTGACTCGAATGTGAAGAGGTTATGCTAGGCAATAGGCTCACAGCTTCTTTTCTGGGTGTGGTCCATGTTTCCTTCTAGCCATCTTTTGAGTCTATTTATGGTGGTGGTTTATCAAGATCAGGCGCACTTCTTTGTTCTAGCAAGGGCTAAATATATTGCCAGGTGAAAGCATTGCTATTGTGGCTAATGGGTTGCTGAACTTCAATGGGGCTGTTCCCCAGGCTTGCTGCCTTCTTTCAGAGCACCGGGTTATCACTAATCCTTTTGGTTATTGCATGGGGGGCATACAAGGTGTGCGTGTGTTTTCTTATTTGACTGTTACAGCATATTTGCAAAGAGAAAATTTGGGAACGTTATGTTGAAAACATCCATGAATTTATTTTGCAGTGAAGTAATCATCCCTTCTCCCCTCCCCTTTGTGACTAGCCCATTATTTCCATTTCTAATTCTTTCATATGCTTCTGCCCCTGTCCATAGGAACCTGTCTATGCTTCTACTTATTCTCCTGCTATAGCTGCTGCCCATACACTTCAACCCTTTGTACCTATTAATCAGGTGAGCAAATCTTGCACACAGGTCTTGCAACGATTTGTGGAGCTCTTGTTCATGTAGACGATGTATCCTTCTCTCGTCATGCCTCCATTTTATACCCATAGTTATCATTCCCTCTCTCTCTCTCTCTCTCTCTCTCTCTCTCTCTCTCTCTCTCTCTCTCTCTCTCTCTCTCTCTCTCTCTCTCTCTCTCTCATATATATATTTTCTCTTTCACTGTCATATATGCCTAGAAATCAGCAGTACAGAAATGTTGGATGCTGTTAGGTAATCTCTTCCAATATATAACAAAACATTGTTTGTCAGTAGTTGTCCACCAGCCAAAGTGGGTGGGTGTGGGTGAGAGAATGATTAAAAGCACAATCCTATGCAAACCTGCACAGGGTTGCGCTCTTATGCTATATGCAATATAATCTTTTTATTATCGCTACTGAAGAGTTTCTGCTGGAAGAATGGTAAGAAGGTTATTAATGTTCAACAGGAAGAGTACCGAATTTTACCAGTGTCCAAAAGCTAGGGTAGTTTTTGTTTTAGAGTCTAACAGCCTTCAGCTTCTTTGGATGAGCACCCAGAATAATTGTCTTAAAACTCCTTTTCCCAAATACATTCCTTAGATAAGAACTGCTTTTTCCTATGAAACAAAACTGTTTCCTTTCCTAAAATACAGCAATAAGAACTTCATAAAATCCATAGCAAAATGTGTTATTTTTGTTCTTAACTTCAGAAAGTTATTGATGTATTGCTCATCCAAGCAACCCATGGATTATTCTCCAGCTTATGTAGAAAAACAGAGTTCAAGCTTTCCCTTCCTTGTTTATACCCTCTATCCATATTTCAGCTATATACTTTCTTTAACACAGACAACTTTGTTTCTTCCTAAATATCCTCAAATCTAAGTGCCTCAGCTAAACCAAACCCCTAAAAATTTACTCGATACCCTAAGGTTCTTTCCAAAACTGACCTTCAATTTACAATAGAAATCTGTTATACACATTATAATGGCTATATTTTTTGTTTCTCAAAATGCTCACTGTACTCTAATGTAGGAGAGGCCATGGCGGCCAGCCTTCATAGGAGGGGAGCCTGAGTACTTTGCTTTTGTACGGTAATTATGTCAATCAGAAAACATTAATGCACTTCATCATGATTCTCCATTCTGAGAATCAGGGTAACCAGCTCCATTCAGAGACTGACATTTGCAGAATCTCTAATTCCTAGGACCTTGATGCATCGGTCATGCTTTGGTTTTGCAATATGCAAGAGGATGAAAAAGGCCTTGTCAGTATCATTTGTGAGAGTTCCATAGAAGTGCAAAGAGTCAGCTAGTCATGAAGCACTTTACATTTATTGTTGAGGAATAAGTGAGACACTTCAGTATTTTGCAGTTTTCCCCTTCCTGTATGTCTCCTAGGATAGCTACTGCTTCATTCTGCACTTCCCTCTGTGCTTAGATAAAGGGGTTTCTGTGTGGAAACGGTCATGGTTCCACTGTGCTGTGAATCAGTTCATTTGGCTTCATTCTGTTTTCCATCCCTTTATGAAACTGGAGGCAAGGACAGAAGCTAGACATAGTGAAATGTATGTATCAGTTATTTACACCATTTCATGGGCTCCTCACGCAAAAAAAGTTCCCGCAGTGGCTTCTGTAAGATCAACAGCAACCAAGGCAACTCCTGACCTCAGGCTTAAGATCTGAAGAAACAAAATGAAACAAAATGGAAATGGGAGGGAGGGAGGGAGGGAAGGAAGGAAGGAAGGAAGGAAGGAAGGAAGGAAGGAAGGAAGGAAGGAAGGAAGGGGAAAACTAGTAACTCTGGCATCAGCTCTTAGAAGTTACAAATTTCGTGTAAAGACCAGCATGAATGAGACTGTCAGCACTTGATGTTTTTAGAGCCACATCATTAGCACAATTATTTTATGGTGCCCACATTTGAGTGGATGGTTTTTCCAGAACTGTGGAAGTTGTTCAGTCTAAGTTGTTAAGGCAACTTTTTTCTGTGCCATGTTGTGCTTTGTTCCAGGGCTGGTATAGGACACTTAATGATTGGCTCCCTCTGTGCTTAATTCACACTGATCTACTGTCCTTGGTTCTGCAGGACTCCCAGGAGAATGCTTGGATGAAGCACATAATTTCCAAGCATCATTCCTTGGGTCTGTGACTGCAGCAACTATTAATATTAGGCTTCACCAAAGCAAAAGACTGAATTAGACAGTGCTTATAGCTATTGAAGGACAGAATCATTTCACTATTAAAAGAAAATTCTGCCTGCGGGACAACTATTTCCCATTTAGATCTTCTGATACACTGGCATCTTATCTGAAAAACTTGGCAATCTTAAAATATAGATGGGCTTTTATTTATGCAAGATTGCATATACAGCCCTCAGCTATATTCGAGGGCAGATTTAAAAGAATTCTATTGAGAAATCGATTATGTCCATGTGGAGATAGCAGTATTGAAACAGTAGCTCATGCATTATTATTTTGTATTTTCTGTGAAGGTCTAAGAAAAGAGGTGATTGCTTCACTATTTTTAACAATTCCAGGGCACTCAGCTTCTGTTTATGTGCCCTTCCTTCTTGTAAATCAAAATAAACACATTAATGCAAAAAAAAAAAAGTGAACTTTTAGCTAATGTTATTAAAAAGTTATTTTACTAGAGCCATACTTTTGAAACCTTCCAATAGAGCAGAAGTTCTATTTATCCCACTTATGTGTAAAAGATTATGTATTAATTTTGGCATTTGTACTTAATATAAATTTAGAATGCAATAAGGGAGTTTTTAAATGCACCTTTAAAAAAGTATATTTTTATTTGGTGGGCTAAGGCTTGTGGCCAATGCAAATAAGGATTCAGTCATCATCTGAAATGGGAACAAGTGAATGGAAGGAAAAGTGAAATTAAGCTGCCCTTTCAGCAGAGCTAATTAAGTGACCCAGCTTGCTGTCTCTGCATGTGCTACAGCTTGATGGAATGTAAACACTATTTTTCACCTGTCAGGTTTTTTTAAATCAATTTAGACATTCCTTGCATGCTTTTATCTAAAATATAAACCCAGGAAGAGCATGTGAAGCAGTAGACGAAAGTGGCATAAATGACAGTCACTTTCCAAAGCAAACTTCTGGTTTGGTGGTTTGATGCCCAGGCTGTGCTTTGCTCTGCCCTGGGGAAGTTCAGTTCCAATGTGGTGGTTCAAGAGGTCTCTTTCACAAAAAGAAACCATTGCTGGATAATACGGGGTTTCCACAAGTCCAGTTCGGTTTTTCTTTAGTAATTCAGGTAGGAAAATGGGGGCAAGGTCCTCGCTTGTTTCTGCTTCTCTGCTTTGTCTCTCTTTCTGAATTTCTGTTTCTTTTTCCTGAAGGTCAGTAGTGCTAGTGTGAAAGAGCCAAGCCCCCTGGCCTTTGAGCGTCACCCCTGGAGATGGAAGGTGAAATACCCCCTTTTCTGCCTGTTTCTTTAACTTACTGAGAAACGAGCTGAATCTAGGTTTGAAACACATTGTTAAGGCAATGTATTTAAGTGATAATTGTATTTGGGGCGTTTGTCAGAATGCAAAAGTGCATATTTAGCTGGCAGATTTGCAGAGTTGCGCTAAGTAAGCATTTTTGCACTTAGGTGTCACATAAACTTCCCTAAATGGGTGGAAATACTGCCATAATATGTGTATACTGAAAGTAACCATGAAAGCAGACATCAATCTATGATTTATTTTCACTTTTGTTCTGCACTTTTCCATTAACCTTTATATAATGTGCTGCTAGCTCTAAAAACTGTTATCTTTGTTCTCTATGTATTCTGCTAAGCGTCTTGCCACTGTGTTGTCGCCTTCAGGTATTTAGTTGGTTATAGTAGAACAGTTGTTTTGCCTGCCCATCAGGTCTTACAGTGAGCTTTTCTTCATAGAAGACTTTGCCTGCCTTTGGTTTAGTTCTGAACCAAATGTTCAAAGATGTCTTTTTTGTGTTGAACTGTTTGATGATGGCTTGATGAGGATGATAATAGAAATTAATCAAAATGAAGTAAAAGTGCATATTGCTCTCTTCAAGGAACAGATTGGGAAAGATGCATAGACTTAACAATAAGAAAGAAAAAGAACAATAGGTTTGTGCTGTATGCTGTGTTTTGCCTTTAGTTTAGGTAGATTTCATTGAGTTGTTTCAGTCCCTGTGATTATTGCTGGGCTGTGGTTTGTTCAGTAGAGGTGGAATGAGCCTTGAGTGCGTTCAGGTCGGTGAGCAAATGGGAGGCATACTTGTTTTCCAAATTAATGGTCCACAGCCACCGTATGCTCCATAGCACTCGTTGTACTGCTATGTTTGATGTTTCATATTTGCACAGATTCCCCTATTGTTGCAATAGTATGCGTTTACCTGATTGGTGGTCTGTTTTCCTTTGGGCTTCATTAATGATTTATTGTTGCACTAATATTGTTGTGCGAATCCCATCACTCCTTCAGCAGTCCGTAAAAGAGAGCTGTTAGAACCAGAGTTCTGCTGTTTTAGCTCTTGCAGAAATCCACAGCACATTTTTATTTTTATACATTTGATTTTTTAGCATTACCTTACATTCAGATAGACTGCACAAGCATGAATACACTTGTATTCATGACAGAGCAGTGTCATATGTGTATACAAGAAAGGAAAGCAAAAGCTGTTCTACTGGACCTTCTCAAAATTGCTCTGGGTTGCTTTAATTTACTCAGGAGACACCAGCTTTATGCTAAAAATCTGCACCGCGTTAGGATTTGCTCTGTGTATTCAGTCCAGAAAATCTAAAGTCACCACCCCCTCAGGGCCATTCGTATTACCATTCCAAATGCCTTGGGGGATAAATGTCTCCTGATAGCCGCAAATCAGTCGACAGCAGCTCACCTGTGCAAGGCAGGACTTGCTAAACATAGTTATTGGCTGGCTTGAACAGAAAGCGATATTAGCAGCTGCAGAAGCAGAAGAATACCTGCTCTGTTGCCAAACCTTTTCTTAGCCTGTATGTCATGCTGCTGTAGAAATCTTGAGGTTACTTTAGATGAATTATAGATAACGGTTCACAGAGTAGTAACTTTGCACATTGTGCGTACAATTTATGGGAAGGCGGTTGACGGGGTCAACTGTTCGTTTTGCAAGGAGGGTTCTCCCATGCCACACTGTTGTGAGTGGGAAAGTCAGAAAAATGTGTGTGGGTGGGGAGCAAAATTATCACAACATGGGCAAAACACCTTTGGAGAATGATTACCCAAAGGATCATGAATGCAAATGGCAATGTTACCACTTGGTAAGGGGCCTTCATTTATCTCACAGAGCACTAAAATCGACAGTGCTGGACATACCTTGTTATGGTTATTGTTCATATACAATAATCAGGCGGTGTGAGCAGATAGTAAAGTTTGCCAGTGCATCTATACATTTACCACTTGTGCTTGCACACACATGAAATAACACGGCAAGGATTCAGTGGGCAGGCAGTCCTGTGGGTTAATTAGCAGCTAATCATAGGTTGACTTTGGGGTGTTTCACTGACAGACAAGCCACTGTGTCTGCATTTGTATGTGACAGAACAAGCTACAGTTAGACTGATCAGAGGTTACATATTTAAAGAGACAGTGACATGCTTCCACTTTAAGTTACTTGCAGCTTGTTGCCATTATGTGCAAAGTGGATCAGTGTGTTGTGCTTAGATGTTTCTGGCTTTCAGCTGCTTCTCTTTGCAGCTTTTGAAAGCAAAAACACAAGAGTTGGATGGTTGACAACATAATGTGATCACCTGTGTTGGGGAGGAGCACTTAAAATGCCAGTATACCACATTTATGCTTCCTGTGTTTATATAGACAGAAAATTTGCTTGTTTGTCCTTTTTTTTTTTAAATCACAAAATGATCTTCCTTCTGAATGTCAATAGTGTTAAATATCAACTGGCACAATTTGCAAGAATATTGAAGAAATAATTTCCAACATGTAGGGCCCTGTCAACAAGCCTGCAGAAAAGGCTACAGAAAATATTCCGCACTGTATGAATTCTGCAACAGAAACAAGCAAGAGTTGGTCAGAGGCGCACCATGTACAGAAGTGGCATCAGTGCTATTGAAAGGACCCAAGGAGCACCTGTGGGTCCTTGGGAACTGTAAGGGGTCCATTGGGGAGATGCCTCTATTCATTATCCTCTCATTGTGTTTGAAAAAGCAGAGGATGTCAGATAACCTGCCCTGGGAAAGTCAAATGACAATTGAGGAAAGAAAGCAATTGATAAGTGTTCGAGAAGAAGCTTGGAAGGCGAGGGGTAAAGGAGCAGCAAACGACTCCACCCAGTTCACTGTTGCTGGCAGAATGGTAAAGAAAGGTCAGTCTTTTATCTGTCCCTTGTGCTTTGCTCTAAAAAATCTGTTGATGAAAAGCAAATGTGGGAGGATTGCCAAAAACCGTTCGGTTACTTTAATATCGGGAAGCTGCTCGTTTTTGTTTTCCCCAACATTATTCGTAGAGGCATTTCAATTATATTGAAAGCTCAGCAGGACAATAGAGCAGCGACAGCAAGCTGTGCCTTCTGAATCTGACAGCCTGTTATTTCCTTGGTCTACGCAATCAAATTGCCTTGTAAACTCTCTAAGAACTGCGCAGCCAAACTCTCCTCTGATCACATCTTGTTGGGATCCTTAATAATGAATATCCATCTTGTTCACAGGAAGCACATGCTTTCTGACTGCTGTATCGTGATTTCCCATCTTAGACACATTTAAGATGAACTATTCTGCTCTTGGCTTGGAACTACAATACCTGGCAGAACATCTTCCCATCTGCTCAGACACCAAGATCAAGATCTGGAGCCTGCCTCCAACTGCCACCTCAGGGGGAGTTTTGGCTGGTGGCAATAAGAAGGGCCTTTTCAGTGGTGGCTCCTCAGTAGCAGAACAAGCTTCTCACTGAGGCCTGCTTGGCACTAACATTACTGTCTTTTCAGTGCCAGGTTAAGACTGTCCCCTGCTGCAGGGCATTTAATTATTTTACTAGGGCTTTGTTAGTTGCTTAAACAAATCTTAAAATTTACCTCGTTAAGTTATTGTATGTATGTATTTATTTAAAGTTTTTATATGCCGTCCCAATACTGAAAGACTCTGGACAGCATATTTTTATATGTTTCTTAAATTTGGTTTTAAATTTTGTATGACAGCCTTTCATAAAGTGGTATATTTTATACTTTATTTTAATGTGTTGTTGTACACTGCCCAGAGAGCTTCAGCTATTGGGTGTTTTGGAAATCAAATAAATAAATAAAATATTCTATTTAGAGCAAAGAAACAGTGGGAGGTAGGAATGATGCATGCGCTCATGTGGGCCTAGCTGTGAATGTGGAGCAGGGAGGGAACTGAGAGCCCAGCTTTCTATGAAAACTCAGTTTTAAAACTCTGGTCCCGTAAATATGGAGGTAACAATTATTTTATAAAGTCAACCCTTTGCCTATTGAATTAGAGCAATGGCTATTTTTCTCCAAAAAAAGTTGATACATTAAGCATTTCACTTTGTACACACCAGCTCAGGGTGGGCAGAAAGTAGATTTGCAGATGGGCCTTTAGCTACCAGCAATTCTGACCAATGGCCATGCTGGCATCTTGGAGGTGAGCCCAGAATATCTAGAGATCTACCTTCTACCCACCCCTGCCATAGTTAACTGCCCTCAGTCTATGAAGTAATGCAACACCGGGGTGGTGAATTAGGTTCTTCAAGTGAAACAATTGAACATGCCTGAAGACGAATGGTCTGGGATTCTAGGCCAAATATGTGGGGATTGCCCAGGTATTCTGTACCTGGATGGGGTGAGCCCTTGAAGACTGAATCATGGAAAGAGACACTCTGAAGAGGAAAGCCTCATGTACCTTGGGAGGCTTTTCCTGCATTCGGCTTCATGCAAAGGGTTAGCCTGTATAGAAGAGGCTGACCCTTCTCTTCGGACAGTAGCCTTCCACAAGTAGCGGGTGATGGATGCCGTGAAAGATTGAGGCGAGGCTGAAGTACCGCCTCTTGCCACGTGTTTCAGTGTTTCACTATTTAGATGGAGCACTCTTGTCAGACTCTTGATAAGGAAACTGTTCCCTGAAGGAAGAATGTTTGAAAAGCACAGGATCACACATGTAGGATCACACTGATACATTGTCCCAGGACAATGGCAGGGCCATTAATTTGTTTCTGAAGGTTTCTCAAATACTCCCTCTCGGACTTCCTCATCTTTTGACCTAGATCTTTTGTGATTGACAAAAAGGATTTGCTTTGCTTGAGGTCTGTCCATTGCCTCCTTTCCCTGAAACTCCCCCTCCAACCATCTCTGCAGAATTTACCCAGGTTAGCTAATAATTGTATGTAGGTGATGCAGAACTGGAAGTTGGCAAGAAATGTAAGATGTGGATAGAGAAGGGACTTGACAGAAAATTTTGTTCCTCTGCAAAATATGGGCTTAAGCACCAATCCTTTGTGACTACCCAGTATGTTCCATGCATATATTAATGTGGGAGTAGTACAGACAGACAACTTTCTGGGTAAACTGTTTAGGCACATTAATTTGGTAAATGTTGCAACATATGTCACGTAATGTAAAACTAAAAACCTCCTTATCCTGCAGGCTTAGCATCACCTACAGCCATAACCCCAGTGGCATCCCCTTTCTGCAACAGACTGAAGTCAACAACACCTATTTCAAAACCTCTGGAAGGTGAGCCATAAGAAGTGTGATGTTTAATGAGAACACTTACCAATCTTTTTAAAAAGCACACACAATAACTATTTCAATTCTTACTTTGATTAGAGATTGAAGCTAAGCCGGATATGCAATTAGAATCAGACATGAAGTTAGATAAACTGGAGTCTTTCTTGGGAAGGCTGAACAACAAAGGTACGCACTATTTTAAGAAGGCAGTCCATGTTTTCATTTACCTTCCTACTTCTATTGCTTCCTACTTCTATTGTAGCAAAGCTTTTGCTTAGTTCGGGACATGGGCTGAATCACTTTGCTTGCCAATATATGTAAAGTACAATTGCAGCTCTTATTGATATTCTGCATCCTTCCATTTTTGAGCTCGGAGTGACAAACCTGATGTTTTCAGGTAGTCTCCCATCAAGGCAAGGTATGTGTCTTCAAGGCCACGCCACAGATCCTCCCTGTTATCTCCTAATCAGAACTTCAGTAATGTACAGGTGGGCCATGATCCCAGGAAAGGCCTGATTTTACAGTATGCGGCAGCAAAAATATGACTCACTTGGTTTTCCCACCCATGTAGCAAAAAGAAAGGCAGTACGAAGTCATGATGTACAGCAAAAGTCCAAAATATAGAATGAAAATGTGCCCCAGCTATATGTGGGCATTTCAGCCCCACAAATGGCTTCTCAAGAATAGAAGCTGACATTTAGGTATTCCAATGGGAGTCAGGACTGCTCCAGATAACCTTTTCTCTTTTTATTGGGTAGTTGGTGGAATGCAAGAAACGGTGCTGACGGTCACTGGAAGATCTGTGAAAGAAGTGATGAAACTGGATGACGATGAAACATTTTCAAAATTTTATCGTTGCATGAATTACCCCACTTCTTCCTTACCTTTGGAGATGGATGAGGACTTTGATGCCATATTTGATCCAGATGCACCAAAGTGAGTACTTTTGTTTTCAAAGTCCTAAAAGCATTTTGGGAGAGGAGAGTAATCCTATCTCAGTTCTGAGATTCTCTTTCTTTCTCCTTTGCTACATGTAGCATTAATCCATCAAGAGGGTCCTAGTGTAGATAATTCGTCTACCAGCTTGGATCATCAGTTGTATTGTTATCTCATCTGTGTATCTGTGATCAAACACTGGCTGTGATCAAACACTGGCATTTTTTCTTTCTAAATGCTAAGGATTTTCCTCCTCCTCCTCCTCCTCCTCGATACAGCCCAGCTGCTGGCAGATGTATCCGTTTCGTATTGTCTAGGGGGAATCCTGTAGTATTAGCAACATTCTGCTGTTGGGAAGCTAAGAAATATGTCAAAGCAGTTATCAGTGATGTAGCAAACTCTGTGCATTCCATCAGGGATTCTTTTCTGACTTATGTGGCCAGTGGGATGTTACCTATTCATCAGTAGCATTTGGCTGTGTTGATGGGATAGAGTGTGAAGAGCTAGAAACTTGGCAAAGTGAGATAGCACTTTGAACAAGGCTCACCGAGGGAACTTCTAGGACAGGGATAGGGCCTGCTTGATGTCCCCTTCCAGTTGTGCCCTCCAGATGGCAGTGCTTGCTTCCTGGCCTCACTCCCTTCCACCCGTCAGTCATCTATGCAGTTTTTTGCCATACGGAAAGAACTGCCTCTCCCTGCACTTGATTACTAGCGTAGTCTGTAAGGGCTTACCTTTGTTAGCCCTTGAATGGCTTTGAGCTTATCCATGGGGGTCTTTTGCTTCTCAGGTTAATTTCCTCGGTAGCGGAGCACAAGCGTGCAGTGAGGCCCATGCGCAGAGTCCAGGCATCCAGGAACCCTTTGAAAATGCTGGCAGCAAGAGAGGACATTCTGCATGAGTACACAGAGCAAAGGCTCAACGTGGCTTTCATGGAGTCCAAGCGGATGAAAGTTGAAAAAAGTAAGTTTAGCATCCCGGGGCTCCCTCCCGTGCTGCTGCCAACAGATACCTGAAGGCAACTTTCTTGCAATTCGTGGTTTAACTCCAAGGAGTAACCATGCTGGCCGTGTGTTTCCCCATGAAAAACCTACCATGGGCCCACTTCAGTCATGCAGAACTGGGAGCGAGCCAGGTGCAGGCACTTCCATCCTTGCTCTGCCCTTCACGCCACTGGACTGTGATGCTGATACCATGGCTTGTCTTACTCACAGCTTCCCAGTTCAGATGTAATGGGATACTGGGGCTTAAACACTGTTTAAAGTTGCACTATCCATGCCAAAGCCAGATTTGCATGGAGAGACGCAAGGTGTGAGCATGAGGACACAAGATTTGTTTTCAGTGGTTGAGTTTGTTATGCCTGGAATAGACTTTGCAGATTTGTGGGGCTTTAACAGGCAGTGCCTAACAGCATATTTTTAAACAATTAATGGAATGGTGCAATCAAGGGAAACGAGTTGTCAGTTATCTCCAGGGGTGCTATTGCAGCTATGTAATAGGAGCCCATAGCTTTATTGTCATCATCAGGTGCTTAGCCAGGAATGAAGAGAAATTCTTCATTTTTTGACTAATAAAGTATTATGATGTGAGTTAAGGAAAAAGTAATGTTTTTTCCTGTAACATAATCACAAGCATATCTGGATCCCATTTGAGTAAATAATGTGTCACTAAAAATGCTTGAAATGATGCTTGTAGACAGTTGAACTAGCTATTTCATATATAAGAGTTGCTTCCATTTTTCACCATTACCTTGAAATGTTCCACCTGGAAATTGTAAGGATCTTCAGATTAGTGAGTAATTTGAGCTCAACCTTTTTTTTGTTGTCTCTTTCAGGAGCAACAACAAAACAAAGTTGGAAATGAGCCATGCATGAAAACACACTAAATAAAATATGGAAATGAAACATAATGTAGTTTCTTTGTTGTTTTTTTGTGTGTGGCTTTCTTTTTCTTTTCTCTTTTCTTTTTCTTTCTGTCTTTTGTTACATCATCTGTTTTAAGTGTCTGCAAACTCAAATTTCTCAGAAGTAGCACTTGCTGGCTTAGCAAGTAAGGAGAATTTCAGCAATGTTAGTCTTCGTAGTGTCAATCTAACAGAGCAGAACTCAAACAACAGTGCTGTGCCATACAAGAAGCTGATGCTCTTGCAAATTAAAGGTATGTGAATAAGCTCTTAGATACCATCAAATTAATTTAAGATACAATTTACAAACATGCATGTGCACGCACACACAGACTGATGCTTCATTTGTTCTGGGTAGAAACACAGGACAGATGGAGAAAAGAGACTCAGCTTTCTTCGCTCCACCAGCCTCTCACCGTGCTGAACAGCAATGATATCCATATACCGAGAGAGGTTCCAAAACTAAATGTTGATGGATCTAGATTCTTCAGTCTAGACCAGGGCTTTCTTTGCATTGACCATACTGTGAATGGAGGAGTCTAATATTGTTCCCAGAAAGCAGTGCCAAACAGCAATAAATCATACAAGGAAAGATGAATGAATCATTTAATTTGCTACTTATGTCACACAGTTCCTCCAGGAAGGAACATCTACATGTATGAATCCCATGGCCAGAACAAACTGTCAAAGGAGTCAAAGCAAATGTTTGTTAGTATTAGTGAGTTGAAATGTCTAAAATGTACCACTTACCTGAGTTGTGGAAATTAACGTAAATTTGTAAAGAGGCATCTGTTGGGGCAGGGAACAGCTTTCACTGCATTTTATTTTCATTGTGTTTTTATTTGAAGTGCAGCACGAAAGCAAAGCAACAAGGGCAAAACATCAGAGACATGCATAAGAACATAAGGTTATATCTTAACCCTTAGAGTTGGCCCATTGAAATGGAAAAAACCAATAAAATGAATATTGGATAGAACCCATAGGAAAGAGCCCTGCTGAATCGAAACAAGGTTACCTAGTCTAGTATTCTGTGATCATGCCTGTAGAAAGCCCAAAAGCAAGATAGAAGATTAGAGATGGCTGGTGTCCTTAAGGTAGTACACATAGCTGTCTTGACTATAGTAGCCAGTGATTAGCCTTATCCATTATTAATTAATGTATTGCCCTTTTAAGCTTTCCAAATTAGTAATCATCACCACCACAGCCTCTTATAAGGGAGCATCAATGCCCCCCCACCATCCCAGTTGGCTGTTCCTTTTCTGCTGGATACTAAGAAGTGCGAGGATCCATTACAGATGCGGTTGCACAAACCCATCCAACGTCCTTGAGGTGTCCCAGCTATGCAGTATAGGAAGCGGTATTTCCTTTTGCCTGTCCTGAATTTCCCACCAAGCAGAGAGACATCAGAGGATCCTGGGTTCTAGTCTTGTAGCTCCACACCATGCATAGTTGTGTACCTCTCCATCATGGTCTCCTTTTACTCACATTTTTTCCAAATTAAAAAAGCTCCAATCATTGCAACTTTTCTTCATAGCTGAGCTGTCAAATAGCCTTATTCTTCCTGTACATGAATCATCCACTACTCATTAAGTTTTTCTTACATAAAAGACATTGGGAAAATAGAATGGAATATCTGAGACAATGGTTTTCATTTAGGAGTGATGAAACCTGGAAGTTGTTTACAATACTTATTTGTGGGAATATAATTAGTCTGGGGTTTTCTCTCCGTGTAGGAAGAAGACATGTTCAAACGAGATTAGTGGAGCCAAGAGCTTCATCGCTTAACAGTGGTGACTGTTTCCTATTACTTACTCCTCATTACTGCTTTCTTTGGGCTGGGGAGTTTGCAAATGTCATTGAAAAAGCAAAGGTTAGTGCTCTAATATATCCCAGCTCTGTTTTTCCTTTTCTGTAATTTGCTTCTGGGGCAGATCAGCTGTGGACAAGACACAGAATAACGTAAGTTGGAAAACAGAAGTTAATGACTGTTCCTAACATGTAAAATATTGTGTGAATTGAGTAATTTTTTCTCCTCCCTCTTATAAATTCCTTCTTTCCTAAAGCCAATGTGATAGAAAATAGTAAAATTTCCTTTCTGGGCACAGGAAATCATTTGGGAGGAAATGCCTACATTCACACAAAAAGTGGATTTAAATAGCAGGATGTCCTTTCTGGCTTCTGAAATTAAACGGAATATAGTCACATTTAAATGGGAACAAGGGAACCTATAGGTATCTGGCACAGTTTCTGTGTGCAGCATTGTTTGCTCAGTGAAAATAGTAGAAAACACCCAGTCTTTCTCTCTCCCCTGAACTGAATTGTTGTCCCACTAATCTATTCAACTCACGTTTAATTTCTTAGGCTTCAGAACTAGCAACTTTAATCCAGACAAAGCGAGAACTTGGCTGCAGAGCTACTTATGTGCAAACAATAGAGGAAGGAATCAACACGCATACCCATGCAGCCAAAGACTTCTGGAAGCTCCTTGGTGGCCAGACAAGCTACCAGTGTAAGGAACCTTTGGTTTCTCCATCTCGGTGCCACTCCCCTGTTGTAAGAAGACCTTGGATGGCTTCTTCCATGTTAAAATGCCTCTGCTGCTTTGGTAATGTTTCTCTCTGCCACTTCCAGCTGCTGGAAGACCAGAAGAAGATGAAATGTATGAAGCAGCAATAATAGAAACAAACTGCATTTACCGCCTCATTGATGATAAGCTTATTCCAGATGATGACTACTGGGGAAAAATGCCAAAGTGTACCCTGTTAAATTCAAAAGAGGTATAGTAAGTGGCATTCCAGTGTTCAACGGCAGATTTATAGTGCTCCTGGAGATGTGCGTGCAAGCTCTTTCCTAAGCTCCTTTCTCATTATGGCCCAACAGAGTCAGAATTGACCTAGAAGCATCCCTTCAGTAGATGCCTATTGCATGTGCTAAGAACGGAGCTACATGTGTTAAAGAATTATCATCTGGAGACAGTTTAAAAAATGAATCAGTCTCATGGTTTTTCAGTGAATTCATCCACTTGTAAACACGCAACTGTGCAAAAGGCAGCCAAGAAGACCTTTATTTTTAAATGCATTTTACTTAGCAATATATGGATTGTCTTTTGGTCCAAATAAGGCCCACAAGGCAACTTAGGATGGAACAAAATGTTTTAGTTATTTTTGCATAAGTGTGTGAATACAACTTGGATTGGGAGCATAATGCTCTGGAAGGTGTTCATGAGGTTTAAACCTTCCCTCTACCTGTTTTCATCCCAAAACTCCACATATATTCCCACAAGGGGTTAAGAATGCTTAAAAAAAGATGGGGTAGTGTTGGGGGTCTCCATTGATTTCAATAAGACATTTCTTTTTCTTTTTTGACCTCCTCCTCTTGGAGAGTGACAGTTCAGGATGGAAATGGGTAGGGGTCAGGTTTAACCCTCTGTCCCAGACCAGAATGGTCCCAATTCAAATCATAGATGGATACACTTACATGAAGTTAAATAAAACTATTGTGCATTGCTTTGCTATGTGTGATTAGAGAGCCATTTCATTTGGTCTTAACAGTTAAGACTTGCAGCAATTTAAAACATTTAAATGACAGTAGAACAATCTGACAACTTTAAAACAATTTTAAAACTTTAAAATAGCACCGGCAGCAAAAATGAAGCTCACCAGAGAATCTTAAAAACATGGCAAAAGAAAGAGAGTTGAATGCTAAAAGGCCACATGACGCAAACCAGACTGTTGTGGGGATCCTGTCTCCCTGCAAACATGCAGATGAAAAATGCGTGATGTGCTTTAAGTTTTAAGGCACTGAAGAGCAAGGAACATTCGTATGCGTGGAAATGTGAATGGACCAGCATCACACCTGTTACCGGTTGCTGTGCCCACACATCTCTGCATTTCTTGAAGTTTGAAGTTAAAACTAGGATGCTACATTTCAAGACAAGATAGCCAGGGAGCATTCTGTCTTACTGGAATGCACTCACCCCAGGAGATATGCAAGCAATTGCATTTAAAGTTGTCAGCCAGCTCAGCCCAGCTGCGTACAAGCTTCCCTTGCTTGTTAACTTTGCAGCCAATACTGAGTGTGGAGTGCTTTCCCAGGTGTGTGTTCACCCACCGTTTGGATTTCGTTTATGTAGAATCTGGATTTTATTTTATTTAGATCCCGCATTAACACCAAATAATTGTCATACAGAACATGCAAATCTTATTGATTGGGCCGCACACAAGCCTCATAATGTAGCTGATGCACTGGGTGCTTGACCAGTCACAGAGAAGTACACTGCATAAGGATGCAAAAGCACTGCCCAGAATTGAAACCTTCGACATCCCAGGAGTTCATTTACTTGCTTTAGCTTTGCCATTTGTTATATGTTCTTATACTCAGCCTTAGTACTTGTTACTCAGTAAAAGAGCTTGGTGTTTCTGCTTCTACCCCACTCCTTTGCTGGTTGAATGAATCCACATTGCTTCCCTTTTCGTTGTCCTTCAGGTGTTGGTGTTTGATTTTGGGAGCGAGGTGTATGTTTGGCATGGGAAAGAGGTCACCCTTGCACAAAGAAAAGTGGCGTTCCAGTTGGCCAAACACTTGTGGAATGGTACCTTTGACTATGCGAACTGTGACATCAACCCTCTGGACCCTGGTGAATGCAACCCCCTTATTCCAAGGTATGAAGCCCTCTGGCTCCCAGTGCTGAATTTGCTCTCCCAGCTGTACCTCCATGACAAGCAGCATTCAGCCTTTAAGGGTTTAAATGGCTTGTAGATTGAAGGATTCCCTTAAATTGCCATTTCTAAAGTGCTTGTGGAAGGAAACAGGTTCTGCTTTCTTCCTGGCATACCCCTCTTACTGCATAAGCCTCATACACCAGGCTTGTGTCAGTTTAAGAGAGACAGAAAATGGGTTAGGAAAAATAAACATTTCAGATGTTTTAGAATATTGGAAATGAACCTGCATCCTGTTGCTCTAGTGCTTTATTTACATTTACAGTCCTTAATCAGGACAATAAAATGCTTCACATGTGAATCTCAAGTTCATGCAATTTTCAGAAATCAAGAATTGTGGGTTTGGGAGTTGAGCTGAGCAAGACATGCAACACAATTTTCTTTTTAGCTCTGTTTTATTGGGTTATATGAAGTTAATTGATGTAGAGGCATCTTCTGTACTGTTTTTTCTATAACATAGAAAAGGACAAGGACGACCAGACTGGGCTATTTTTGGCAGACTCACTGAGCACAATGAGACAATACTATTTAAAGAAAAGTTTCTTGATTGGTCTGAACTAAAGAAACCTGCCGAGAAGAATTCTGGGGAATCTCCACAGAAGGTGACAGAGCTTTTTGCTTAAGTATAGTAATGATATTTATGTTAATAGATGCAAGGCAGATCATGGCATGTGAAGTGACCTAATTGCTGAAATGCAAGGGCCAGCAGTCTGTGGTCCTCCTAAAGGCCCTTCTGGACTACATCTCCTATCAGCCCCAGCCAGCATAGCCCATTGTGAGGAATGACAGAACCAGCTGCCCCAACAATAACTGAAGGAGCACGAGTTGCTCTCCCCGGCTGTAAGAGATGACATTACATTGTGTTGATTTTGCAGAGGAAAAATCTAAGAGGAAGGTGAAAAAAGCCTACAGCTCATATTGAGAAGTGTAATCCTTTTTGTGCCCAAAGGATGCATAAGATTGTGCCTCCAGAGATCAGTCTGCCCTTGTGCTTACCTAGGGAATTGATGGATAGGCATTGCATCCAAGTGACACTGGAGCCACCAGAGTATCCCAGCTCAGACAGGCAGGGCAATCCTGTAGCTGCGAGTGCCCTAGACAGCCATGGGATTGTTGGATACCTCAGATATGTTATTTATTTATTTGATTCATATCCCACCCTTTTCTTTTTTAAAAGCAGCTTACACCCATCTCCTCCTGCTGCTCTCAGTCTTATTCCCACAACAACAACTCTGCGAGAGAGGCTGGGCTGAGAGTCTGTGAGTGGCCCAGAGACACCCAGTGGGCTGCATGGGTCCCAGTCCCACCCTCTTAACCACAGCACCGCACTGACTCTCAGTTCACTCAGATATTAGGGTTGGGACTGGGAGCAGCCTTTCCCCACCATGCAGCCGGCATGGAAGGAACCGCACGCTGCTTCTCTGAGGTTGCTAACATGGGATTTGGTGAGCGTGTGGGGAGAGGGGGGTGCTGCCCCAAGACTAGGCACCTGGCAGTGGCTTTCCTTCCCCTCCAAAGTGCTTTGTGGGGTGGAAATCAACATAGGCGCTGTGTTTCCCCCACCCTCCATTGCATGCATGTAATCCTCCAAGTTCAGAGTGTGTCCTTAATGATTATAGCATTCCTTATAGGTGCTTAGAAACAAGGAATTGAAATTTGCCTTGCTGAGACTGCATTTTATCACTACAAACATAGCAGCCCTTCCTCTTGGCACCTGGGCCTACTCCTCATGTCTTTGGGAGTTAAATTTATGATTGGTAACCTAAGTGAATCATTGATAAGCTTTTGTATGCTTTTAATCTTCTGAGAAGTGCTCTAAATCTGGCTGCCTGCTCTGACTTTAGATATTAATGTGTTTAATGGGTTTTCTGAAACTGCTGTAGAAGATGAAAACTGATTGGTGTCTTGTTTCAGGAAGAAACCAAGGCTGATGCGAAACCATATGATGCCATGCGAATGGTCCCAGTGCCCGAGACAACAGTTGGCACAGTCTTGGATGGAATGAATATTGGCCGTGGCTACGGATTCATTGAGGGAGATGACGGGAGACAATTTGAGATTATCACTGTCTCTGTGGATGTCTGGCATATCTTGGAATTTGACTATAGCAGGCTCCCTAAACAAAGCATTGGACAGTTTCATGAAGGGGACACGTATGTTGTGAAATGGAAGTATCTAGTAAGCACCTCAGGTTAGTAAAAATCCAAATTCTCTATAATGAAGTATTGATATGCTTGAATCAGGTAAAATTGATCTGCGCAGCTGGTGAAGCACTTGAATTACTCAAGCACATCAGCAATTGATTTTTGCTTTTAGGATATTAATTTCTTGCTTCTGAGAAGGAGGATAAGATAGGATTATAAATAAGTGTTTATCTGTGGTGCTAAACAATCCTTCATAGCATTGTAGAGGTTTCAGAAGATGTCTGTTTATCACCTCTTAAAATGGCTCCGATGGAGGGCCTGAAGCTGCCATTTTAAAATTAGGCCATTACAAAAACAGAGCCACTGAAACATTCTCCTCCTCTGCATTATCTGACTTGAGTGCTTTATACAAATAATGAACTGAGAGACCACTTGGAAAAACAGTACATGTGGTGTTACAGCACATATCTCTGTATTTTGGAAACCTTTTCAGTAGTTCCCTTCCAATAGGGTTTTGCAGAGGGGACAGGGTTTTCCAATAGAGTTTTGCACTTCATACATTCTTTTGCTGCCCACCTGCAATTCCTTCCAGTATCGTCCAGCAATATTGGATGCTCAGCCTCCAAAACAAAATCATAACTGTCAAAGAGCAAATGATGCAGGATGCTTATTTTAATGTGGCAGCACGATAAGGATTCTTATTATCACATGCATACTGCAATTTTCTTCATTTCTTTCAAGCAATGCTATTTATTCTAGTGATTCAGTAAGTATAGGCTGCTGGCCAATCTGATGAGGTTTATTTGCACATATTTTTGCCAGCCAGATCATTTAGATGCTATTTCTTTGTAGGATCTATTTTTACTGTTTTGGTTTGGTTGTTAGCTTAACCTCAGAGGGGAGGTTTGAACTGGGCAGGTGTTCTGGAGACACAGCATTAGCAAGCCTCTTTCGGATTTGTTTTGCAGTTGGAAGCAGACAAAAGGGGGACTTGCAGACCAGGGTTGTTGGCAAAGAGAAGTGTGTGTACTTCTTCTGGCAAGGGAGGCATTCCACTGTCAGTGAGAAAGGAACATCTGCGCTTATGACCGTGGAACTGGATGAAGAGAGAGGTGCTCAGGTGAGGACTTTGGGGTTCTTCCTCTTCTTAGTACAGTCCAGATGTTTAGAGGGGGCAGATGTTGCCAAATTAACAATGTTCACTCGCAGAAAGGGAGCACACTGGGCTTTGCTCTGGAATAACAGAACACCACTCGCTTCTGTGCAAAACCTCTGTAGACACGAGCCACGTTGCTCAGTACATTATTTGTTTTTCGGCACCAGGCAAAGACCTTTTTATTCAAACGTTATTTTAATTGTTAATACTATTTATTTATTTTATTCTTTGGCCAGGGCAACTTAAATTATACTGTTTTATATTGTGTTTATTTATTTATGATTGTGAGCCGCCCCGAGGCTTTGGCAAATGGGGCGGCATAGAAGTTCTCTAAATAAATAAATAAATAATACTGTTGATCTTCTGCACCATCAAAGAGAATTCAAGGGCAGCTGCAAGGGTACTTTGGCTTATTTCTTGGCTGGAAGGAGTCCTCCCCTGCCCCCCAATTTATATCAGTAATATAACATTACTGGTCGAGTTAGGAAAGGCTTCTGTCTGAAACCCCCTAGAGCTGCTCGGTGGACTGTCAGTCATCTGGAACTAAATAGAGAAGCGATCCAGTTGAGCATGATGCCACTGCTAAAGACAAAGGGAGCAATTTGGAGATGCTACATTAGATGGCATCATCTTCTTCATGCCTGAAGGTAGGCCTTTCAGAGGAGGCTTAAAGTCACTGCTACTTATGGCAAGAATTCCCATACTGTGTTCCAAATGGTTTTATCAGCTTTCTGCACGTCAGATAGCCTGGCAGGCTTCCTTGGAGCAAGAATTCTACCAGTGAAGACACTCAGTCTTCCTTATCTCTTGTCCATGTCCCAGGAATCTGATATTAGAGAAGGCTAATCTGATAAGGGTAGTTCATATGGTACCAGGTGGTTCCTTCAATCCAAACAGTTCATCAAAATGCTTATATAATATTTAAAGTGGCCTTACATGAAACTTATTTTGCACGATTCATATAGAATTACTGCTTTTCAGGTGCAAGTTCTTCAAGGAAAGGAACCACCATGTTTCCTCCAGTGTTTTCAGGGTGGAATGATTGTTCACGCTGGGAGAAGAGAAGAGGAAGAAGAAAATACGCAGAGTAAAATAGCTTCTTATTACTATTTTTCTGCTCACTGTAGAGGGAAGGGAGACTTTTAACTGTGCGATACTTTTACAACATTATTTGTTTGGAATGTCCTGAGAAATGAAAATAGTACTAGTGAATACAAGTGAGTGAGTGTGAAGTTTTTTTGTTGCCTTGGTACTTTTTGTTGAGGAGGGTATCTAAAAATATAATTGATGCGGATTCTGTTATACAAACAACATCTGTAGTAATTCTCATTCTTCCCTCCCTAAATTAGCAGTACCTATGAGTCACACCTCACTGTAGGTGCCTGTGATGTTGACGGTACTATTTGGTATCAATTTGGCATAAGGAGAAAGAGGGAGAAAGGCAAAGTAATAGGTAACACAGTGCAAGAGGGAGACCGGAGTATTAACTGCTGTATTGTGCAAGTGAAGTGAGGCTGCGGTACTGAGCTTTGTGGTCAGCACTGTGGATCAGGAGGGGCAGTTGAGAAATCGGCTGCAGGTGTCAGGAATCATGATTTGATATACCTGCCCCTCTCAGGCCTTGGGCTTTACATAGCTCAGGCTAGTTTTATCTTGCCCAGCCTGGGCGTGTCTCTTATTTATTTAGATTTATACCCCACTTTTTTCTTATAACTACCGAAAGCAGTTTACATAAGTCTCCACCTGCTGCTCTCATTCTTGTCCCCACAACAACCACCCTGTGAGGGAGGCTGGGCGGAGAGTCTGTGACTGGCCCAGAGTCACCCAGTGGGCTCCATAGCTGAGCAGGGATTTGAACCCAGATCACCTGAGTCCCAGTCCCATGCTCTTAACCACGACACCACACTGGCGCTTAACTTAAAAGCAGCTTTGGCGACTGTGTAATGAATCTGTGTCATCCGTTCCCATTTCAGGTGACTGGCGGCTGTATTGTGTAAGAGGAGAAGTTTCTCTTGAAGGAAACTTGCTTGAGGTGGCCTGCCATTGCAGCAGCCTGAGGTCCAGGACTTCCACAATCGTTCTCAACATCAACAAAGCCCTGATTTACTTATGGCATGGCTGCAAAGCCCAAGCACACACTAAGGAAGTAGGAAGAACAGCAGCCAATAAAATAAAAGAACAGTAAGTTGCAAAGCTATTGTTTTCTGCTCATTTGAATACAGTCTACCACCTGTCTGGAACTCTTACCAAAGTGCCGAGAACAGATGAAAAATGACTGAGGGAGCACGGCAGAAGTTTATTAAGAATTAATATTGTTTATTTTATTTGTGTAAGAGAGTTCCAGGCTGTCTAGCAACCCATCTTTTTTCCAAAGCAGCATACATGGTATAATAACACAATAGTCAAAATATAATTTACTTATATTCTGATAAGTATATTTGCAAAAAGTGGACTAGATAGAAAAACTGTTAGGTGGATCCAAAATTGTCTGCTAAATTGTACACAGAGTGGTCATCAACATCACCTTCTCATACGCGAGGAAGGTAAATAGTGGGGTGCCGCTGGGTTCAGTCCTAGGCCCAGTGCTCTTCAACATCTTTATTGACGATTTAGATTACGGAGTTCAAGGAACAATAATCAAATTTCCAAACAATACAGAACTGGGTGGAATAGCGAACACCCTAGAAAACAGAATGAAGGTCCAGAGCAATCTTTATAAGCTTGAATGCTAGGCTGAAAGCAACAGAATGAGATTCATTAGGGACAAATGCCAAGTCCTCCATCTCCAAGCAGGAAAAAGAAACCAAATGCATTGATACAAGATGGGGAATATGTGGCTCAGCAGAACTGAAAAAGAAAAAGACCTTGGACTAATTGTGGGTAACAGGCTAAATATAAGTCAACAGTCCAATGTAGCCACAAAAAGGGCAAATGCTATTTTGAGATGCATTAATAGAAGTATAACTTCCAAATCATGAGAAGCAGTAGTTCCCCTATACTTGGAATACTGTGTCCAGTTCTGAGCACCTCGATTTAAGAAAGATGCAGAAAAGTTAGAAAGGGTCCAGAAAAGGGCAACAAAAATGATCCAGGGTTTGGAAACACTGCTCTATGAGGAGAGACTGAGAGAACTGGGCATGTTCAGCTTTGAGAAGACGGGGGGTGGGGCACATGATTTCCCTCTGTAAATACCTCAAAGGCTGTCACAAAGAGCAAAGTCAAGCTCTCTTCTTGCTGATACCAGAGTGTAGGACATGGAATAATCAAGTCAGGTTGTGACAACCCAGATTCAGGCTGCACATCAGGAAAAGCTTCCCCACTGTCAGAGCAATACAACAGTGGAACCAGCTGCCTAGAGAGGTGGTGGGCTCTCCCATACTAGAGACATTCAAAAACTGGGCAGCCATCTGAGTGGGAAGGTGTAACATGTTGTCCTGCAACAGCAGGGGGTTGGACCCCATGGCCTTCATGGCCCCTTCCAACTCTGCTATTCTGTGATCCCTCCCTCCCTCCCAAAAAGAAAACCCTCTCTCTTGCAATGAAATAGATTGGCAGAATAACCATACAGGATCAGACCAGAGGTCTATCTAGTCCAGGATCCTTTTCTCACAGTGACCAATCAGTTGCATGTGGGAAACCAGCAATTCGGGCATGAGTGCAATAGCAGGACTAGACAAATGCAAGAAACTACATCTTTACAAAACCCCTAATTAATTTATGTCATGCACTGTCACAAGGGAACACATTCCTGTGGGAAGCGATGCTGAAAGCAAAGGGGTAGGACCAAAGCGCGTGAAAAAACCCACCAGCATAGTGCAACTTAAAGCTCCTACAGGCAGTAACTGAGGAATGTTATTTCCATATTTTAGAATGGGGAAAGGACTGCACAAAAGCCAAAAAGCTACAAAAGCCAGGGCAGAGGACATGTCCTTCTGTAGAGTGCTGGAGTGCTGGATTGGCCCCCAGCTTGACATTCTTCACTCCTGGTTCTGTGGAACATCAGCACTGAGAGCAGCATGTGCTGAATTCCAGCCACTGGGGCATGATAGGCTGCCTGTTTCTTTCTGACCCTGCTTCCGGGCTGCATTAGCACATCTGAATGACTACTGCGAGAAGCAGGCTGCTGGGCTGGGTGGACCTGGGGCCTGATCCAGCAGGGCTTTTGCTCTTAACTTGGGAAGCAGCACGGAATGCATGACAATGCTGATGCAGGGATATGAACCCAGGTTGATGAGAACAATTCATTCACAGTGCATAGCGGTTAAGAGCGTGGGCAAGGAGCTACAGCTTGGCAAGTGTCGGTACACAAAGTGTCAGTTCGCATTTTCACAACAGTGATGCTGATGGGTGGATATTGCTTTCCAGATGTCCATTGGAAGCAGGATTGCACAGCAGTAGCAAAGTGACAATACATGAATGTGATGAAGGGTCAGAGCCAATGGGATTCTGGGACGCCTTAGGAAGGAGAGACCGGAAAGCCTACGATTGCATGTTGCAAGGTATGGCATTGCTTGTTCCATCCGTGCCGCTTTCTTCGGTCATTCAGAACACTCATCTAGTGCACTGCACCAAAGAAAGGGCTTGTATAAAAACTGGAGGAAACTCTTAGTACATTAACTCACTGGCAAGAAAACGTTATGAAATGTCTGATTTCAAGAGACAACAGGAAACACCGTATATACCAGCATATAAGGCAACTCGCATATAAGATGAGATCAATATTTTGGCTCTTACACTCCAGTACATATAGGTATTTGTCAGTCAAAGCTTCTAGACTTGGCATGATGTCACATTACCATATTCTGCCTAATAGTCACATTCCCTCTCCAATTTCACTCAGGAAGGTTTTTGCAAAGTTGGAGGCCAATGGTGGTCTGCAAGGCGGCTGGCTGGCTGGGAGCAGTCGGGAGGACAGCCAGTGCCAGTACCATGGACAGGCGCCAGGGAGAGGAGGCCCACCTGGGCAGCACTGTGTTTCTGCAGAGAGAACTGCATGGAGAGTGCTCCCCTTCCCAGCTGCTGCCGCCACCAGCCCAGAATGCCACTCTGCCCCCTCCCCCCAGCAAGAGTGGGGTGGGTGTCAGACTTGGAAATGAGCCAGTGGCCACGCACAAGGCTCACAACCCAATGCAACATAGGACAAGCTCCCCTGGTGCCAGTAAGAAATGTTTTTAAGGATTATTAATAAAAATGGGCTTGTAAATACAATTGTCTATATTATCTAACCTTTTTTAAAATGATGAATATAATATGATGAAATATTTCCATCTGGCATATAAGTGACCTCCAATATTTGCTTCACTATTTGCAGTTTCAAGAGTTGTCTTATATACTGGTATATATGAAATCAATGGATATTTGCCCTGCTTTCTATCTTATTTAGCCAGGTCATCTGTCACCAATTCAATGGGATGTCGTTGGTGGAATAGGTGGCATATAAATATTTTAAATAAATAAATTTCTTAGCATACTTATTGTAAAAAGGTAAGGTGTGTTGGTTTCTAAAATGCTAACTGAGTTACTTTTGTTGCTCTTCTTAAAAGATCCAGGGAAGTTTAATTTCACACCCCGCTTGTTCATCCTTGGTAGTTCATCAGGGGAATTCTCAGCCACTGAATACATATACCCAGCAAGAGACCCCTCTGTGGTGAATTCTATGCCATTCCTGCAGGAAGACCTCTACACAGCTCCCCAGCCAGGTAAGTCAACGCAGCAATGTGCAGGATCCATAGCAATATGACCCTCTGCACATGAAATGCCTGGTCTTCTAGAAGGACTTGCTGTGAACTTGGACTCTGCCAAACACAGTTACTTGTTTATGTCCCACCCAAAACTGCAAATGGATGCACAAAGCAGGATTGTAAAGGTCTAGCAACATTTTGCAAAACCTAAGTGCTGTAGAATCAACAGCCCAAACCAGTAGCAGCTTTGAAAGTGCTTTACAATCTTCTTCCTGGGATTCTCTCATCAAATTGTGGTGGGGTGGAGGGACAGATGCTTCCACCACCTGAAGGGCTTCGCATCAACAGCCGTGTGCTGGGCTGGTTCACATAATCAAGTAATGCATATTAAAACCATGGGTTGCTGTTTTATCCAAATCAAGGTACCCGGGGTTGTGCAAGGAAGAACAAAGACACTAAAGAGCCCACGTACAACCCACAGCCTTCTAGGGTTATGTAAAGGTTATCTAACTCTCACACTGCCCAACCCCCCCCCACACACACACCCACACCTGGTTCAGGTGACATGACAGGCCATAGCCGTGCTCAGAACCTGCCCAGCTAACACATGCTGCCACTTGGTGTGTTTAAACAAGCCACAGTAGTCTGTGTTGTTTGTGCACTGGAAACTGAGTCACTGGATTTACTGCAGAGGTGAGAATTAGACCCAAAACCAAACGGTTATGCCCTGAATGCACAGCTGGGTGAGAGAAGATTAATATTCCACTTTGAGTGTAAAGGGCAATCCTCTGACCTTGCTCGTTTGCAGTGAGGTGAATCAAGGACAGACAAACGAGTGCCCTCCCAATGATTTAGACTACTATTCCTTTGTTCCCTGACCATTGGTAATGCTGGCTGGGGCTTTTGGGAGTTGCAGTGCAAAACATTGGAGGGACCAGATTGCCTATTGCCTACTTGATTGGAAGTAACTCATAATTAGACAGGAAACCTCCTAGTGACACAGTCAGTACAAGGCCTGTTGGGTCCCTTTTGCCTTGCCTGAGATGGCCAAGGCTGCATGGCCTCAAAAGCTCCCGTGATATCACGATGTTGTTCGGCCTTCCATCCCACCAGAACAAGAATCCCTACTAACGCAACCATCCACTGGCTTTTTGGGCCTCATGACACACCTGTGCACAAAAGGTCTGTCTGCACTGTACTTTCCTGTTCATTCTCTCTCAAAGTCTGTAGTATCCTACTTTGTGCCAAGCTGTTTATGAAGACTTCTTGGAACGAATTGTGAGGATATTTCAAACTGTGGGGATATTTGACACACGCAGAGAGAGTATATAGTGTGTCGAACAACTGTAGCATTTGACTCTTGTATTTACCCTGTGCAGCCCTCTTCCTTGTTGACAATCACCATGAAGTGTACCTCTGGCAAGGCTGGTGGCCCGTGGAGAACAAAGTAGCAGGATCTGCCCGGATCCGATGGGCTTCAGACCGAAAATGTGCCATGGAGACTGTCCTCCAGTACTGCAAAGGTAACAACAGATGAACACTGGTTCTCATAGGACCTTAATACTTCTTTCCACAAAGGGGTCCATTTGCATCCCAGAGAGAGAGCGGAGCATAGCAGAGAGGTGGCGGGGGAGGCATTCCTGTGCAGGAATTTCCTCTGCTTTTCACTCCTTGGTGCTTTTCCCGGTTCTCACACCCAGTAGCCCATGATACAGAGCAGGGACAGGAAATGCATGGGGAAATTACTGGAGAGCATGGGGTTAGTTTACTAAAAGTTATGGGAGTGGGTGGAGAACCAGACATGGGGTTGCCCTTTTGGGCACGAGGTCCCTCTTTCATTGAACGTTAAATTACGTCCTTGTCAATAGCTCTGATACAGCAGCCCTTCTGCTAGTATACCCGAGATCCCAATTCAGGTGTAAGTGCAGCTGGACTTTGTTGGAGCTGGGATTGTGCTGCGTTTGATGGATGTTAGGATGACAGCGATGGTTGCTCTCACCATCATCTTCCGTAGCTCTTGAACGATGTAGGTGTTCTACTGCCCTCGTGTCTTGCACACAACACCCTCGTTTGAATTACTGAGGATCTACAGACTGAGACTGGATGGCGACGACTTGCTTAAGCCTCAGGATTTAAGAGCTAGGCCTCCTAAGTTAGGGCAGAAGACATCCCGGGCGAATAGTGGTCAACCTATGGCATGCGTGCCACAGCGGGCACACAGAGCCCTCTCTGTCAGCACGCGAGTCAAGTCGCCCCCGCATCGCCCCAACAGCCGAGCATCGGATAACAGCGCACACAGGGGCCATGCGCGTGCTAGGAAAGGAACTCGGAAAGTGCGGGAAAAGCTACACAAGGAAGGTTGTTTCAAAATCGCCCTCTGTTCAGTGGAACTTTAGCCTCATATTAGGGTTAGGGGTGTGCACCAGGGTAGGGCTCGGGTTAGCAAAACGAGGTGTCCTGGCATGATTTTGATGGTTGGGATGTGTTGAGAATGGGCAGAAATGTTGAGCTGAACAAAAAAAGCGACTCAAGGAAGGCTTTTTCAAAACCTCCCTCTTTTCAATGGAACCTTAGCCCTATATTAGGGTTAGGGGAGTGCACCAGGGAAGTGTTAGGGTAGTGGTGGTAAACCTATGGCATGCGTGCCACAGCGGGCGCACAGAGCCCTCTCTGTCAGCACGTGAGCCAAGTCACCCCAGCAGCCAAGCGTCAGATAGCAGTGCTCATAGGGGCCATGTGCATGCTCGGAAAAGAGTAGCGGTGCCAGGCAATGATGTCACAAGCCACAACTCATTAGCCGCAACTCATCCGAGCTTTCACATGGCTGGTCAGTGCGCTGCCAGGGATTTGCTTGGACTGGCTGTGAGTTGTTTCTTCTTAACTAAAACCTCAGTTTTCAGGTTTTATTGCAGTGTTGGCACTTTGTGATAAATATGTGGGGTTTGGTTTGCTGTTTGGGCACTCGGTCTCTAAAAGGTTCGCCATCACTGTCCTAGGCCCTGTTGGGTATTACGGTCCCTCTGAGACAACGTTCTTCAACCTTTCCTTGTCTCTTGTCTCCTCTCAGGAGAATTCAGGTGGCTGCTGGGCTTTGCCTATACTTGTGAGGTCAAAATTATACCTTTTCAGCCTTTTCTGGAATATCTACATAAACCTGGACCCTCGTAGTCACATGTGGCCCTAATTATGTTTAAACTGGTTCCAGGAGTCTCCTAAAACTCTTTCTCCTCTTTAGTGGCCCATAAAGTCAAAGTGAGATGATCTAAGCGAGATTAAAATGTCCTTCTGTTTCTTTAACTTCATGTCAAACACAGAACATAGTGATTGATTTACTTAAAAAAATAGTGTGAGGCAACTCATAATGAGAAGCTTCAGGGCTAGAGTTCATTAACAAATGTGGCACTCTATCTCCTGGTTTAAATAAGGATTATGGGTGATTCCCTTAGCAGAAAAAGCAATTATCCACAGTTGCTGTTAACAGCTGTCACTTAGAATTTGTCATTTCTTTCAACAGATGCAGATTTAGATTATGAACTGTACTCTTCTGGCCGCAATGCGATTCTGCCTCTCTGTTGCCTTTAACAAGCCCTACCTTGTTGCCTTTTCCTTCAGCAGCTTCTGAACCCTTATGTAGTTTATGCATTTAATGAAAGCGAGTGGAGTCAGACAAATGGGAGTAAGCTTGATTTTCCATAATGGAGCCCTGTAGGGTTAAGAAGATTACTCAGCCCTTGCCCAGTAATGCAGAGTGTAGGGCTGAGAGGGTCAAGCACCTGTCAAGACCTTCCTCTGGAGAGGGTGCTGTCAAGTCCACCTGGCCTCTTCCGCCACCATTCTTCACCTGCCCACCTGTTCTTTCCCTTTAGATACGGAGGGGTGCAATGAATGGCAGGGGGCAGCAGGAGGGTGGGCATGAGTAGCCGCGACCCATCAGCCAACTCTGTCCCGAGCAATGCAGATGAGGAGGGGCAACTGGCAATGAGGCAGGTATGGGGACCTCAGAGGTCCCTCCAGAACTTGCGCCAGCACTGGCTGAGCTGCACGTATCGGCTGAGCAATTACCTTACAAGGGAAAAGGGCAAAGCACGGCACTTGGGAGCAGTGGCAGCACAAGCTAAGCTTGCCAATGTCCCCAACCCTCACTGGTGGCCAGTCTGTGGGCCAAACCCCTGTAGAACTGCAAACCCTGAAGGAGCATGGGAGAGCTGTGGGGAGGGGAAGGGGGTCCTCTGTTCAGGCTTGCATATTTGCCAAGCTTGGATTTGTGTCCAAAAGCTGGTGGCAAGTCCAAGCGGTGACTACAGAATTACGGAGCTTTTCTGTTAACAATGGAGAAACTGAAATTGTGAACTATTTCACATACCTCGGTTTGATCATCAATTCAAAGGAAGACTGCAGCCAAGAAATTTGAAGAAGACCGACTTGAAAGGACAACAGTGAAGGAACAAGAAAAGATCTCCAAGTGTAAGGATGCTTCACTGGAGACCAAGGCCCGGTTCGTTCACACCATTGTATTCCTGATCACTGTGTCTGGATGAGAAAGCAGGGCAGTAGAGAAACTGACAGAAAGAAACCTGATACATTCAAAACATGGTGCTGGAGAAGAGCTTTGCAATTACCCTGGGCTGTCAGAAAGATAAACAAGGAGGTCCTGGATCAAACCAAGCCAGAACTTTCCTAGAAGCTAAAATAGCAAAGCTGAGATTGTCATACTTTGGACACATCATGAGATGGCAAGATTCACTGGAGAAGACAGTCATGTTAAGGAAAGTCGAAGGGAGAAGATGAAAGGGAAGACCAAATGTGAGATGGACTGAACCCACAAAGGAAGGCACAGCCTTGAATACAGAAGAGCTGAACTGGCCTGCTGTGGGCAGGACATTTTGGAAGGCTTTCACTTAAAGGATAGCCATAAGTTGAACCTGAATTGATGGTACATAACAAGTTCAAGCTGCTTTCACGGAAGGACACCATCATACTTTCAAATGTGTGCTATGATATTAAAATGAACTAGGTTCTGCTTCCCTTAATTTAATTTGCGAGCAATCATATTTAAGCTCAAAACAATTGACCCTCCTTATCTCTTCTTTTGTGAATTACTCACTGCTGAGAAAAAGCTTTCTATTGCAAACCTTTCTTTTGTTTCTTTTTATGTGTAGGAAAAAATGTGAAGAAACCCCCTAAATCTTACCTAATTCACGCTGGTCTGGAGCCTCTGACATTCACCAATATGTTTCCCAGTTGGGAACACAGGGAAGACATTGCTGAGATCACCGAAATGGTAAATGAACCTTTCTCATCGTCTTCCACAAGTTTTCCTGCACCATTAGAAATGCTGGGGCATTGCAGTGGGCAGCACCAACACCCAGGGCATTGACCTGCATAGGAAGCATCTTGTGAGAGTGGGGCTTTAAACAATGCAAAGGGATAGATTCTGATTCAGGTTTTAATACTGATTCAGCATAAATCTTCCAGGGCTCAAGCAGAGCTAGCTGAAAGATGTGTCGTTACTACTGGATACTGGGACGCTGGATGCTACATGCCTGTATTAGAAGCCTGCTTTGTGAGAGGCCAGGGTTTTGGTAATTCCAGCTTCCACAAAACACAGCAGATCACCTGAGTCACAAATCACTTGCAAAGGGCACAGTAAAACTTCAGGTGACAACATGAAACCCCTGGAGACACTCATGGAGACAGGCAGTAGAGTTTTACTTCAGTGTGGGTAATGGGACGGTATCATCTTCTGAGGACAGCTAGCAAGCTTGGACCTCAGTTGGTAAGCAGTGCTGATGGTTAAGCCCTGGGCTTACAGGTTCATATCTGCACATCCTTGTCAACAGATGGGCTGAGCTTTCAAGGGCAAACCTATGCAGTGCATTACAGTAGTTCAAAGGTGAGGTTAGAAGAGCATGGATTCCCATGGCTAGGTTCTGCCTATCCAAATAGGGACGCAGCTGATGTATCAACTGAAGTTGATGGAAAGTGCTCCTGGTCATAGAAGTCACCTGGAACTCCAGGGACAAGTCTGGGTCCAGGAGCACCCCCAAGCTCTGGACTCTGTCGTTTAGGGGGACTGCAACCCCTTCCAGGACAGGGCAGGTATCCTCCTCCTGGACGGAGGGTCTCCCATCAATAGCACCTCCATCGTGCCTGGATTAAGCTTCAATTCGTTAGCCCTCATCCAGTCCCTCACCCCAGCCAGGCACTGCTTCAGAGTAGTCACTGCCTCACCTGGCGTAGATGTCAATGAGAGGAGGCGCTGGGTGTCATCAGTGTGCTGATTTCATCTCAGCCCAAACCTCTAGATGACCCCTCCCAGTGATCATGTAGACGTTGAACAGCATGGGGGACAGGATGGGACCCCGCGGCACTGCATGGCATAATGCTGCCCCCAGCGACACCTTCTGGAATCAGCTGGTCAGGTGGGAGCGGTGCCTCCAACTCCCAGCCCAGCCAGCTGAAATCATACATGGTGGGCCACGTGTGGCAGCCCAGCTCTGCCCTCCCATATTCCACGTCTGCTGTTGCCACACCAGGCCTGATGCCCACCTGAACAAACACTGCGGTAGGGCAGCACCAGCATGCAATACATGGACACACACGATGCCTGCTGGAGCGCGTGGCCTGGGCTGGCTATGGGGCTGGATGCTTGCTTGGGGGTTTCCACCCAGTGGTTTCATCTGTGATGCAGCAGAATAAGGCAGGCAGTACAAACAAGCTGTGTGTGCAAATGTGGCCAGTGAAGTAAAGGCGCTGCAGGGCCGATGCTTGCCTCGGAGCGATGGGATCTCACCAAGTAGCATCATCCCAAGAGGAATTCCGGGGGTGGGTTGCAGGGCGGATAGTGGCTGCCAGCCACCAAGAGAAGTGCCAGAAGAAAATTCTGTGCCCAGTGAAAAGGGCAGGTCCATACTTTGATGTCTCTGTAGAAAACTTGCGTTGGCATCCTAGCTATTACCCATGTTCCAAACCAGTCGACATGTTCAAGCCCAGCAAACTCACCCCTAAATTCTTCTTCTTCCTTCTCTTTTCCCCTCCTATATTATTTATTTACTTATTTTATACTGATAATTTTAATTTTATATTATGATGTTTGTGACTCAATGTATTTTTTGGTATTTTTGTATTTTCTGGTAATTTATTATGCTCTATTGTATCTCAGTGTATTTTATTGTGTTGTAAGCCGCCCCGAGGCTTCGGCAAGGGGTGGCATAGAAGTGTTATAATAATAATAATAATAATAATAATAATAATAATAATAATAAATTGGCCTGTCTTGAATTACTTTCTTCTAGGATGCTGAAGCTTCTAATCAGATAATCCTTGTGGAAGATGTGCTGGCCAAACTGTGCAAAAAGCTGTACCCACTGGCTGATCTCCTGGCGAGGCCCCTCCCTGAGGGTGTAGATCCACTAAATCTGGAAATATACCTTTCGGACGAGGACTTTGAGGTAAATGGAAAGCAAGAGCTTCCAGCTGTCTCTCTCCCTTGCAGTCATAAAGTCTTACAGCTTCACCTTTAATAATTGCCATCCATTCCTTCTGTTTTATGTCAGTCTGCATTACAGATGACCAGAGAAGAATATAATGCACTGCCTTCCTGGAAGCAGGTGAACCTCAAAAAGGCAAAAGGGCTTTTCTAAGTAGCATGATGGAAGTAATCAAGGCGAAAGCTGGAGCAGGATCAATCATCATTTTTAACACCTCTCAAACGAACAACAGCAGGATAAACTGGTGCGCATCCATTTTCAAAAAGCAAATCACCATCTGTACTAAAGTTATATAATATTGTAAATGTGTGAGAGAACTCTGGCAAACTCTTACTCTGTGGGACAGGGCTTGGAGGGTGGATCATGTTGATGAATTGTGTTCTTCTTTGTATTTTTCGCAGCAGGTTCTTGTACCGCTGCTGTAACTGATATTTTGGCTACGTACACTATTTGCCATTTGGGTCTGGAAGAAGTTCCCCATTGTAAAGTGTTATTTTGTTAAAGCTGTGGATTTTCAAAAAGAATTTATATTTATATGAAACACATAGGACAAGGATGTATTTAACAGTGCAAATATGTATTATTCACTTTCAAGACTCCTGTCAAGAAAGTTTCAGGAAAGTAGCTGGACAGTGTGGTTGCTTGTTCTGGACTAGTTAAACCACCAATATGTGCACGGTTTCTCTCTCTCTCTCTCTCTCTCATTCTGAATGGTTTCTTTTTTTAATAGGCAATGAATTGGTCTCTTTGCTGCTTCAGGTGCTAAACTGAACAAAGCATTATCACATGGGTTTCTTGGGAAACCCTCCAAATCTAACTTTGATATCCCAAAAATGTATAGTGCCTTGGTTTTTTTTTCTTTTTTTGGGTGTACAGTTTATATACAAAAAAAATGGTCTGCTTTTTGATGATGGCTCAGAACAGTCTCTTCTGCTCTACTTTTGTAATAGTAGAAATTTAAGAAAAACCATCTCAATTTCTAATAACTTGTTGCAAACATAAGTTGTCTTTTGTGACAAAGACTTAAAGCAAAGCTTTAGAATAAACTCTTAGCAATGCACAGATGTGTCCTTATTCTAACCCATGCAGTCTGCAATAAGTAACTGCTTCCATAATAAAGCATCTGCATTCACAACTAATCATAGGAAATGTTTGCACTGGGCTGTGACAAAGAAGCAGCAGCTGATGGAGAGACATGTATTCTTTGATAAAGATAAAATTGGCCCATGATCTAAAGCCTTAAGTAGGTCACAACTTCCCCCTGCCTTCTTATCATAAAAAGAAGTGTTCAAGCAATAAAGAGTCCCTGTGGTATTCATTTGAGAATGATATATTGCGCATGCATATCAGAGCAATTTCTTTGGGAAGCCTTTTCTTACCCAGAAATCAGAAATCAGAGCGCATGCTCAAGCTGTATGTAGAGCACATGGGTTGATCAAGGCAATTGGTTGTCATTTGGGGACAAAGTGGAATTGATAGAAAGATACCTTTCTTGAAATTTTCCTTCAGCCAAAAGATTGGCAGTGCCTTCAACCCACTGAGATCCATGCAGCTTAAGTTCCCAGTACCTTAGTCAGCTTAAGTCCCACTAAGTTAAATGGGTTTACTCAGAATATGGCTAAGTCTAAAACCTGAAAATGAAAGCAAAATTTCTCACCTTTATTTCACTTTAGTAAAGCCAATGGGAGCCAGTCTGCTCTGGGGTGCAGATTCAATTCATAGACCATGGCTGACTTCTGATGCTCTGGACAAGTACAAATTTGCCAAGGAATTGTTTATAAATTCCTTGTATTTCAACAATGGATGCATAGCCATCACTCCGGAACTCATCTGACACTTGAAAGGCACCCCTCCAACCCCATCTCCTGGTGTTTTAACCAACAGAGATACAATGTAGGGTATTATATCTTTTATGCTTGCAATTTCAAGAAAGCACTTTAGAGAATATAAGAGGTGAAGATCACTGTGCAGAGAGAAGGGCTTCGAGCCAGTGTTGCTAAGTGGCGTGGTGATCTCTTCTTAACCTGATCAAATCAAATGAAATCAAAACATCCACTGAATTGCCCGAATCAAGTGAGAATGGCCTGGCCCACAAGCCACGATCTTTAAAAAGTATTGTGATGTCAGATGCTATCTAAAGATGTCAACAAATGCTGTTGGTCTGAAGTTAAAGGAAACAACTAGAAACTGTTCTTCCATGGCATGTTAGAAGTATCAGATTGAGCTCAGATCCTGAGCCAAATACTGTCACCCTGGGTACCAATATCTTGATGCTAGATGAAATCTGCTCATTGTTTATTATTGGAAGATTGGCTCTCAATATCAGGTTACTACTTTAAAAATTCCTCAAAATGGGTTCATACCAGCTTGTCTCGGATAGAAAGAGTGCACTTTCAAAGGACTGATTTCTGTCAAGGTAACGTATTTCCTTTCGTAGCAGCAAATCCCCGAGAGGCACCAGTTTGTGGCAGCAACACTAGTAAACAATCTTGTGACTTCTTAAAGATCAATGTATGTATTCAGAGAATCATAGAATAAAAGAGCTTGAAGGGGACAGTAAGGCCACTGAGTCCAACCCCGAGGGGCCTTCTAGGGAGGGTTAGCTGCTCCCCCGAAAATGCCAGTCTTGCTGCAACGAGGCCTGGGAAAAACCCCTCTGGAACCATTGGATGCTTTTTAAATTCCTTGATGGAGGCACAGGGAGATTAAGCCAAGGTGATTAAGCCAAGGAAGCTGGTTGGCTGGATGGGCAAATCCTGTGGGCCACGTCAGGTCCATGGGCCTGAGCTTCCTCATCTCTGCTGCATGTAGTAAACTAGCATCAAACAGAGGGACTCTTGCAATACGATTCCTACTTGCTTTTCTGACTGCTCACTCTCATCTTAAGACACACATTTTTCTGCTTGAATCTCTTTTGGAAGAGAGGAAAAATATCAAACTGATTTTCAATGCCACTCAGGTGATGGGTATGCTGATCTAAATGAAATATCTATTCCAAGCATGTCCAGGCCTTTATCTGACTGGCGAGTAGCTTGTAATGGTCTTATTTTGAAAAGCTTCAGTAGGCTGACTTTGCACTTGCCAGCTCTTCTCTCAGTTTGCATGGTGCCTTCGTACAGACAGAGCTGTGCCCTTCGAGCGAGAGGAAGGCATGCTGGGCTGGGAGCCAGGAAACCACGGACTGTTAAATCTGTCTGCTTTTCCTAAAGGTATAATTTAGCAACTCTGTTCCTGCCAAATTCTGGCAATAAAACAGTGGAAGGACTTGACGTGTCATCTCCAACCTGCCAGCAGAGCTAGAAATCAGATCCAAAACATTTTTCCTTGTTCTTTTCCTCTTAAAAACCGAGTGTGATGGAATTGAGAAGTGGACAGTGAGTGGTGCTTTTGAGTTTAGGCTCATCTTCCATCCACTGCGCCTCTGGGTCGAACCTATGGCACACACACCGCAGAGAGCACGCAGAGCCCTCTCTGTTGGCGTGCGAGCCAAGTCACCCCAGCAGCCGAGCATCGGATAACCATGCACACAGGGGCCATGCGCATGCTCGGAAAGGAGTGGTGGCACCAGGCAATGACATCACAGCCACGGTTCATCCAAGTGTTTGCATGGCTGGTCAGTACAATGCCAAGGAGATGCCTGGACTGGCTGTGAGTTGTTTTTTCTAAACTAAAACCTCAGTTTTCAGGTTTTATTGCAGTGTTGGCACTTTGTGATAAATAAGTGGGTTTTGGGTTGCAGTTTGGACACTTGGTCTCTAAAAGGTTTGCCATCACTGCTCTAGGATGAGATGACTCTTGAGGGAAGCCAGAGGGCACTGTGGCCGATTTCCTGCTTATTACTGATCACAGCTGGACCTTGCTCTGCGTTCCTTGACCTCCAAACATGGCAGAGGGGGCTCGCCCCACGTTGACCTCACAAAAGCTGTGATGTATAGCTCGGTCCTTCAAAGTTGTGGATATGGGGGAATTGGAGGACAGCTCTCTGGTCCATGCCTGGGGACCCAGGCAATGTGTCTTTAAATTCTTATTTTTACTATAAAGCATGGTAATAAGGAATTGGGGGGGGGTCCTTCAAATCTGAATTGGGGGCTCTGTATCTATTCTAAAAAAATGGGGTGGGG